TTCCATCACCACAGCAGCATCGCTCAGCGCCGAAGACGCAGCTGCTAATGAAGCCGCCGCACAAGCCGCAGGTGAAGCTGCCGCGCCAGCTGCCGAAGAAGCCGCAGCGCTCGCTGCTCGCTCAGCTGTGCCCGACCGTTGCCTTAAACTCATGGACATAGAGCAAGGTCGTGATGTAGAAGGACCCTGCTCAGGGGTCGATGATGTCATCGGCCTTGATGATGATCCAGCAGCTCCTTGAATTTGATCTCGACTTCGCGACATCGATCCCGCTGCCTTGCCACCATCCCTTCTGTTCTTCTTTTTGATCTCTTCTGACACCATTATGATGTCTTCTTCTTCACACAACTCCGCTGACAACCTCCTCAGACTTGGTTTATGGCCCGACTCCTTGGACTCTCGCAGTCTCTTCAGGCAACACTTCGTAGCACTATGAAAAAGTTGCCCTGCATAGACTGCCCCCATAGCCACCAAAAGGAGTCCAGTCGTCCAAATCAAAGAAAAATCTTCGCCAGCATCATTCTCATCAGACGCACCCTCAGCTGTTGATAGGAGCACGCTTCCAAGAGCCATAGCTCTGATCACTGCATAGTTTCCTCCGCCACCTGTTGCATGTTCCATGGGCTCCTCGTTGGAGTTCTCAGCTCTTGCTCCAGCAAAGCCCAAGTCATCCACAAACTTGAAGAAAGCCTGACCGGCTAATGGCTTAGTCAGCCCGTCCGCCACCAACTCCGTACCACGAAGATGTAGTAACTTCCAAGCACCATCTGGGGCCACACCATCCAAGGCCTCCTTGAGGAATGAAGATCTCACTCGCAAGTGCCTGGTCCGCCACGTGGCATTTCCAGTTCCATGCGCCATTGAGATTGCGGCCATGTTGTCGCCATAAATGACACGCTCCAGAGAGTTCTGGCCCACTGGCTCCTTGAGCATCGAGCAGATCAAAGCTTCAGTTGCACGACCTGCACAAAGGGCTTCGCAGTAACTCACAAGCTCTGCTTCGGCCGTGCTATACGTCACAAAAGGTTGCTGCGACGACACCCAACTGATTGGCGCTCCAGCGAAGTACACTGCCAGGCCTTGAAGACTCCTATGGTGACTGCCGGTGCCATAGGCGATATCTACAAAAACTTCCAGTAGGCGATCATGTCGCTCAATGTGCAACTGTCCCCTCTTGCCCCATGTTTCTTTCGGGACGCCTTGAGGGTAGTGCAAACCACCTTGAACTTTGAGCACGTATTGCATCACCGCCTTGGAGATTTCCACTGACTTGCATGGATTTTTCGTAGCAAGTCTGCAGGCTAAGGAGACCGTCATTGCTATGTCAGGTCTTGTTCTTGTTGTCAGCCAAAGTAAGGCACCTGCCATTGATTGCGCAAGCTTCACCTCAGACTCTTTGATCTCTCCACTTGGAACTTCATCATCTTCTGAAAGATTGACATGTGGAAAGTCCGTCGCCTGGGTGATGCCAAAGCGCTTCACCATCTCTTGCTCATACTTCTTTTGGCTGATCACGTAACCATCATTGTTGTGTGCCGCTTCAATTTCAAAGCCGCAGTACTTGACGATCTTGCCCTCCCCCGTCTTCTCCAAATCGGAGATGGCCAAAACTTTTTCCACCGCTGTTGTCAAAGCATCAAGAGCCCCACTTTCAGCTGCAAAGAGAAGATCATCGACGTACACTGACATCAGGCCCGTCCAGTGAACCTCCCCCGAGATCTTGTCGACCTCTTCGATCCTCCAGATGTTCTCATCTGAGGTCTTCTTGAAGGATCCCAGTACATCACGGCCTTCTCGTCGTCGATGCCAACTGACAGTCGGAAGAACTTCATCTCGATGCAGTCCCCAATCACGGGGTGATGTGGTGAGCCCATACAAAGCTTTATCCACCAGCCATAGATGTTGATGTCCTGCCAGCTGAAGCTTCCGAAAGACCGAAGGGATTTCCATCGCAATCAGGCGTTTGTTGTCGCGCCTTGGTGCGTTCAAGAAGGCAGTTCTGATATCTGTGCATCCAATCTGCCACTGCTTTAGAGCACCAATTCGCACCATCGCCCGTACTTGTTGTCCATCAACTCCACCAGCGTAGTGCTCGTTGTTGTCAGGCCCAGCATAGTTACCACAGATCACAGCGGCGACTTCTATAGGCACCGCTGCCTGACTTCCGTGTGTGGACCATCTTGCCAGGAAGTATCTCAATTGGCAGCTTCATCTCACTTGCCATTTGTTGCAACTGCGCTTTTGTGATCTGCCTGACGGCCTGTTTCTTGTTGACAAGTTGATCATATTTTTGGCGTATTGAGTCACTCCACGCCTCCAGATCAGCCCAAACTTCAGCATTGCTGATCGTCTTCGTCACCAGGAACTCCTGCTCCAACTTCTTTTGAAGTTCATCAGCACCATGTACCTGTGCTTCTGTCAGCTGTTCTTCAATCATGGCTTTCATCTTGAGAGCTTCAGTCACGTTGCCAAGCCACAAAGATTGTTCAGCAGCTGTTCCATCCAACACCGCCATCTCGTCCTCGACATAGTGCGTCAAGTTGACGTGCAAGGTTCTCAGTGCAGCTGGACTGGCCATTCTTGTGGCACCAGATTCGTTTGAGGCTGTCAGGCGTGAACCACCATCCTGACTATTAGGCGCCCCCTCCTCATCCCCACCTCCGATCCACCAGCCCTCCTCCTCAACTTCAATTGATTTTGGAGTCCAGCTGCTTTCCATCGAAGATGTGACCGTACAAATTGACCAGCTATCACTTGAACCCCCATGATTTGAAGGTGTTGTTGGTTCAAACATCTCGGGGAATCGATTCACAATCTTCTCCTCCCCCTCAATGTCCAACATTGAAATTGCTGGTAGCGGAGCTTTTGTCCTGTGACGTCGTTGTGGAGCATCATCAAGACGTTCTGGAAGATAAAGCGCCTGATCTTCCACTGCTGGTTGTTGAGCTTCAGGCACCACGATGTCATCAGTGTAAAAACATCGTCCTGTGTCGACTGACTTGACGAAGTAGCCCGTGTTGGTAAGTGAGGCATGTGCGTCAGGACCCAAGATGATCACTGGTTCTCGCACCTCACGCCATGGAGCATATCTTGATTGCCATGATTTTCTCAGTGCATAGGCTTTGGCGCTAAAGCGAAGCAAGCGACCCACTGGCCACCCAAGAAGATTGAGTTGGCTTCGCAACCGACGTTCACCAATGTGACGAGCAGCTAAAGGCCATTGAGAGAGAGTGCAACCTCCTGCAGTGATCAAAGTCCTGATGGATTTTTTCACCATACCCATCTCGGCCTCAACACGTCCATTGGCCTTGTAGGAGCTTCCAGATGTCATCGTCGTCAAAATGTTGCGATCTTGCATTTCTGCTGAGGAAAATTCTCGTGCTCTGTCTGAATGAACACGATAGATTGGCAATCCCAGTGCATGTACTTTGGAAAGTGCAGGAAGAAGATGTTTCACCGACCGGCTTATCACAGGCTCCACAAATGTCATCTGACGAACTGTCACATTCTCAGCCTGCTCGATGAGCTTCTTCCATGTTTCGTTCATCGACTTTGCCCTTTTTGTTGCGGGTGATTCCACAGCTTCCGTCTCCACATCGTCTTCTTCAAGAAGAACATCTTCAGGTAGATCTTGTGGTTCTTCTACATCCGTCATCTCCACATCAGGTCCTGGTAGAGGTTGGTCAACGTCCTCGTCAGGCTTGCCAGGCACTTGCACCAATGAGCGACCATCACGGGTGACCGGATACGTATAGCATCCCACCAGAAGGTACTTGCAGGCCTTCATTTGTTGGTCATCACCCGGCGTCAATCGTCCAGAAAGGTCCACGCTCAAGGTGTAAGCAGCTGGATGTTGAATACGTCGATGTGGCTTGCTTCGCGCTTGAGCACGGATGCAATGAGAACAATCTCGTCTCGCCGGCAAGTGGTCATTGAGGAAATGCCTTTTCCATTGCTCAAGGGCTACAGGTCCCAATGCCTTTGCCATTGGTTGACTTTGAGATCCTTCTGGCCGTTGAGATTGATATCCTCTTTGATTCACTTCCATTGTTTCATCTTCCATTGTTTCATCTTTGATTCACCTATTTGAGATCACAAGGAATCTTGGCGAGCGAGCCGCCCAAGTTAGTCTCGCCAGGAGTCTTACAAGCCAAATTTGGCCATGCCAAAGGAGCCGGCAACATTCAGGTTTATCCAAGTGCCACTGGTCGATCCACAGGGAATGCCAGGCTGAATTGTGGCCAAACTGGTCAAGTGCAAATAGTGAGATCCGCTTTGTTGAAGTCGCAATGGTTTTGGGACGCTGGCCCGTCGTGCCAATCTCACCTCAAATCACTTTTCCAAGATGTCGCCAAACGTCTTGGGCCGGTGGGGAAAAAGGCCCTCATGGAGTATGCCAAGGAATGCGGCATTCACGAATCACATGAGGTGTGGCCTTTCATTGAAGTTGCATTCTGCAGCTCTTCTACAAGAAAGAGAAAGAAAGAGAAAGAGTGACTAGCAAACAGTCGCGAGCGTGTTGTGAGAGTCGCTTTCCTCAACTGTGCGTGCTTGACTCGCCGGAATGGCATGCTGGATGATGGAAAATTTTGGGATGCCCTCACATTTTTTCAAATGCATGATCTTGATGTGCTCTTGCTAGCAGAAACAGGAGTGACTGCGGGCACTCACATTTCTCTTGTGCCCCAATTTTCCAGTGATTTCACACTCGCTCCACGGCCGTTGCCTGGCTATGGGGTAGGTGTCATTTTCGGTGCGTGCTTTAACAGCAAATGGTTCAGAGTTGATGAGCTCAGCGATTTCCATGCCTTCCGGGCATGGCTCGCATCGTGGGGATCCACCTTGTTTTGAGGGCTTCTGAAAGAAGCACAGAACAACTAGGAAATGCCATGGATGGGTGGATGGGTGGGCCTGTAGCATGGGCCCAAAAGCCTTAGGTTTGGGGCCAGGAATTTTTCCGCTGGTTCCTTTCTTTCTTTTAGGGACCGGCGCGAGTTGCAATGTCGCTGTTTGGACGTTGGAGTGAGCTTCATCGATTTGACAGCCTAGACGCAGCTCGTAACCATTTCAACGTGGGTGACGAGTTGTGGCAGGCTTTCACCAACATCGTCGGAAACTTCCAGGACGACTTGCGATTACTCTCTGCCTTTCCGAGGACGGGGCTGTTGTCAGGTCTTGGACAAGCGGTATTGCCAGATGGCAGAGCCTTGACCCCGGTTCAAGCAACTCAGATCGGGTTGGTATGGCGCCTGTCGAGGAGAGTCATGGCTTTCCAAACGGGAGCAACTGAGGCAGAATTCCAAGACATTGACCCTTGGCAGGAGTCGACACCAAGCGACACGTCGAGGCAAAATTCCACCTCGTCAGGGGTAAAGGAAAAGGTCTTAAAGATGGCGGCCTTAATCGATCAAAGTGATGATTCTGAACTATTACCTCCAGCTGCAGGTGAAGTTACTGCCTGGTTACAAAAATACCATGCGGTGATGGGTGCTATGCCGGAAGAATCCGAAGAACCATCCCCCAACCAACTTGCTGCTCTTCATAAAAGGGTTTATAAAGATGATGCCCCTGCCTATGTGGACTTTGGCGTGTTTGGGCCCTTCGAGAGGAAGTTGACAAAGATCCAGAGGTGCAGAATTTATACACCGCTAGGGGATGGAACGTATCTACAACGAGACCTTCCAGGACCGCCGACGTATCAGGGATGGTTGGCCTCCTGGAGGGTGCTGAAGACGGCATGCATTATGCTGGACATCGCTTCCTTAGCGTCCCTCGAGGTTTATGGCAAACACATTGAACGTCTTGTGACTCAGTGGCCATCAGCATGGGGATTGATTTATAGCGCTGAAGATGCAGCCCGAGCAGAAAGGATGGCGAAACTACGCCGACACTTCACTGTGGAAGCGAGCCTTGGTCGCCAAGTTCCACGAGATTGGAATGCACAGGCACCTTGGAGTTGCCTATTCATACAACTGGCCCGGGACGACACTTACTGGGCAGAAAAGGTACATGTGCCAGCCTCAGCTTGGGTTGCGTCAGGAGCAAGAGGACAACCGGTGGTAGCCACCGAAGCTGCTGTGAAGGCACACCACACGTTCCTGGACTTCAAGACACGGTTCCTCAAGGTGGGGGGACTGATCACGATGATGGAAAGCGCAGGCAAGCCAATCGGGATCGCAGGTCTGCGAAGAAGAAAAGGATCCAGGCGGACATGGAAGAGTTGAGGACTTTCAGACAATCTCAGGGGAAAGGACATCAACAGAGCGGTGGTGGCAAAGATTCAGGCGGAAAAGGAAAATCTAAGAGCAAGGATCAGACGGGAGCACCATTGTGTTTCTCTTGGGCGGCCGGCACAGGAACATGTGGAAATCTTCCACCTGGCGCTGAGTGTGCTGCAGCGATCAAACGAGTTCATAAATGCCGCAAGTGCCTTTCACCGTCTCACCAAGACGCGTCGTGCCCGAAGGGATGACTTTGACGTGAACTTGACATCACCAGGACATTTCGAAGGACTGGGAAAATGGTGGGTCGTCGATCGTTGTTGATGCCGGTGGATTCTTTAGGCAGGTTGGGTGTGCCGATTTTTTGTTTTTGTGTGTGCTTGCAATTTGACTGTTTTTTGATTTTCATGTCACGTCAGTTGGAATTGCAATGAGTTTGAACTTACAAACCAACAAAACAATTGGCAGTGAAACCTTATGGGATCTGCAGTCATGGCTGACGCAGTGGAGAAAGAGGGCGGTAGCCCGTGTTCGGTGGATTTTGGGGATGGCGATGAACCGTCGCCGCCCCCCGCCGATGCGGATGAAGAGCCCGGCGTTAGCCATGGCGGTGGTCCCGAGAACATCAGGGAGCCAACGTTCCAGGAGGGCATCATGAGGCCGATGAGAGTTCATTCAGCTTTGAAGAGCTCAAAGAACTTTGAGGATTTCAGAAGAAACAGGCCCTTCAAGTTCCTCCACATGTATAGCGGCCCAAATGACCCTTTGGGACAAGCCATAAAGATCGAGGCGGCCAAGAACAGACTGGAAACTGTTGTCTTGAGCTTGGACAACAAAATTGACCAAACCCTGGACTTATCAAAGCCATCAAGTTCCACGGCAATCAAGCAAGAGGTAGCCAGAGGGGAGTGGGATTACACACATGCAGGCTTTCCATGTGGTAGCTTCAGCATGGCACGTCACAATGCGACCCCTGGTCAACCTGGTCCTGTCAGGGATAAGGCGAACATCTATGGGTACCAGGGCAATACCCCACAACAACAGGCTGAAGCTGACAGGGGCACGAGGATGGCGACGCAGGCGGGGGACATCTACCAGGAGCAGGTGAGAGCGTGCGAAGCCAGAAAAGTCCCCCCGTTGGCAACTCTTGAGAACCCTCCTGGAAGTGAAGAATCAGGAGGGGCGTGGGACCTACCGGAACTTCAAAAGGCACTGGAAGAGACGAAAGGAGTTAAAATTCCTTATCGCTCATGCGCCTTCATGGTGAAAGAAAAACAACGGTTTTTGAAACCAGGGGTTTGGGCAGGCAGACTTTCAGGAATTGAAAAACTTCAGAAGGTTTGCAGGTGTCCTGCATGGATTAAACATGTCCCTCTGATCGGAAAACAGATGACTTCGTTGGCGGCAGAGTACCCTCAGGGCTTGGCCGAAGCTGTTGCAAAGGAGGTAGTGGCTTCCTGGAAGAAGACTCTGAACTTGGAGTGGTGGCGCTACCAGATCGAGACAAAGGCCCAGGAGGTTGGGGATTTACAAAAGAAGTGGCTCGAAAACGAGGACAACAAGAGCAAGGCCGCGGACACAAGGCCACCTCCTCAGAAAAGAGCCGCGGCTATGGCCTTCAAGATCGACAACATCGAAAGCGATGACATGGCAAGTGGTTCCAAAACTATCCCAATCAAAGAGCTGTCATGTCATGTCTTTCATTGTCTTTCCATGTTGGAAAGATGAACGATGATGGATGCACTTAATACACAGAAAGCATCAGAATTCGGTCTTTGATTTTGGGCTGCCTATGGCTGCCTATGGCTGCCTAGATGGACAGATGATGACAGATGGCTCAGACTGCCTTGTTGGATTTGCGTTCATTTGCGTTCCATGACATGTTCCATGAGAGGCCTTCTGCAACAGCTGGGCGACCCAGGCTTCATGGAGCCATGAAGCCATGGTCCTTGGATGCGAATAGAATCGACGAAAACAATAGATACAGCATGATACAGCATGATAATGAATACTGGCCCCAACTTCTCGTGCTCGGCCAAAGTGCCTCCGCCAGCTCCGCAAGGCTGTTGCCAGTTCCGACATCGTCTGAGTCTTCGGCAACTGCGTCAGCTCCTTCAAAATCAGTGACTTCTCCCCCGGTCCACCTGGCTGGTACCTGATGTAGAGCAGAGGATTGCCGTGCTGGTCAACTGCCTGTCCGTCACCAGCATCTGTTGGATCTCTGAAGACACTGACTTGAGAAGTAGATGAACTCCTCGTTGCTCCGTTCTGCCGTAGCACCGATCGTTGAGCTCCTCCGGGATTCTTGGATCAATCTGAACCCTCTGCAATGGCGTAGCTTGCTTCCAGTCAGCGTAGTGGATCTGCGCCTGTCTGACTGTCAAATCCCACCACCTGCTCGCCACAGAGGACAGATCCCGCATGACCGGTCCGCAAAGATGGATCCAGTCTCCAAACTGCAGAGGACTTGCAGCGCCCGGCAACTCTGGGAGGTCAGCTTTTGTTGAGCTGCCGATTCCTCCTGATTCCCATGACGTTGGAATCGACTCCACTCCACCTCCAAAACCTCCTCCTCCGTGAGGCCGTAGATCTTGGCAAGGGTGATGTGGACCTTGGTGATGTGGATACGTTGCACCAGATGCCCGATCGTCATGACATACACTTGGATGAAGTTGCGAAGTGCCCAAAGCCCGATCGTCTTGGCATACACCTGGACGAAGTTGCGAAGTGCTCAGAGCCCGACCGTCTTGGCATACACCTTGATGAAGAGACGGCGTGCCCAAAGCCCGAGCTTGTGCACATACATCACCACTTCCACCAAGCGAGTTCCCAGGGCATACACTTGGACGAGCACCCATCATAGCGCTAGCCCGATCCAGAAGTGCATCTTCTCCACATCCACCACGCAAGTGACCTTCACAATCTTTATGTTGCAAGCTGCCAGAGCTGCCAGCCCGACCTTAATGGCATACTTCACCAGGGAACGCTCTGCTGATCGCTTCAGCCAGGTCAGGGTTGACATGTTGACTGAACCCAGGTTTGGATGAAGGCTGGATCCCTGCATCACTACGTTGAAAACCACCATTCCAATACTCAGATTTTTGGAAGGAATTCCCATGAGACACCGATGCTAGGGTATTCCGCAAAGCTTGAACTTCTCTTTCCAGCCACAGTGTCCTAGCTTCACTTGGTGTTGGTTCCTTTGGACCCTCACAACCAGGTTTCCACTGCTGATCGACGACCCGCATCTTTGAAGTTTGATGAAAAGATTCATACCCATCCAAAAACTTTGTTGCATCTTCAGGCACCCCAGTTGGAAACGGCGGCACAGGAGGCACAGACACATGTGCAGGAGGCTCCGGACGCTCATCTGTCGGTGGTGTGCCAGTTGGAACTTGGGTGCCATTGGGGGTATATCTCACCGTATTCCCCACTGTGACAGTGTTCCGGGGTGTTTTGCAACCCTGGCCATCTATTCCATCACCACTCTGCACATCTCGAATTTCAACCCAGGATTGAGAAGACCCGTCACCAGATTTTGGGGTATGCTTCAACTGCCTATAGGTTTCTAGCTCCTCCAGCAGTCGTGCATTTTGCTCCCTCAGCTGTGTGACCACCTCAATCTCTAAAGCCCGTTGTAAACTGTCAGGATCAGAAGACTTCGAACCATCACCAGTTTCCAGTCTACCCATTGTTTGTTTGGCTTCTACTTCTTCGGGCATTCTACCTTCAGACCTTCGCACTCCAGTTTCCCGATCACTTCCAAGCGGCTTGCTCGGCGGAGTCAAAAAACTGTTGTTGCTCTGCCCGACGATTGCCCTCCACGACCCTTCCCCACACATTGCCCAGTGGCTGCACGGTCGTTGCTGAGCGGCTGAAAGTCGGAACCCGGCCGGGGAGTGTTCTGGCAAACCCTTGGGTCGTAGGGACCCAACCCTCACATGCTAATTGAACCTTCTTGGAGTAAAAGGGATTCCCAGTTGCTACTCCACCTTCTCTTGGTGGTTCTGAAGATGCCCGCTCCATGGCTTCCCTAGAAGTGCGCAGGGTCACCTATGGGTTGGGCTCATAACCCTCTTGACGTCACACGCCTCTATTTTCCTTGACACAAAAAACCTTGGGATACATCGGTAAATGCACTGCCTAATCAATGATCGCACTGATAAGAAGAGATACTACATTTGAAGTCCGTTTCAGAACAGTGTTTTTTTGTCCTGAAGGTTTTTAAAAACTGGCCACGCACAGCCAAAATGACGCCTTGTGGGGCCCTGTGCGCATCACCGCCATCATCAACAACTGTAACGACAGCACGCATTTGAGTTTGTTTTTTTTGTTTCATGTTTTTGTTTTCGATTTTGCTGTCGTGACGCATTTTGCACCGATACGTTTCTACAAACAGACGGCGTTACGCACAAAAACTTTTATATACACAGAGCAGATTTTATGCGCAGATACTCTTACACAGAGAGGTTTGTGATGGTTTGTGCACGGAGAAACTTTGACACACCGACGCCTTTACACACAGGGGCGTTTACACAACAAAAATAATTACACACAACAACTTTTACTCACCGATGCTTTGCACAAAGATGCTTTTGCACACATAAAGGCACACAGGCGTTTTTACACGCAGAACCTTTTACACAGAGACACCTTTGCACAGAACAACAGTTTTTACACAAAGAAACTTTTACACAAACAAATTTTGACACACAGAAACTTGTACACACAGACATGGACTGCACATTTTTTTTACACCGAAACTTTTACACGCAGAAACTTTGCCCAGAACAGTTTTTGTGCAGATTTTTCCGTACGGAAACCTTTACGCACATTTTTTTGTACGCACAACAGTTTTTACATAGATGTTTGTAATTACACACAGATGCTTTTACACGTGCACACTGAAACTTGTGCACGCAGCACGCTTTTACACACAACCAACTTTTACATAGAGAGGCTTTGCGTCCCCTTCTTTGATCACCTACCTTTTGTGTTCCTCTCAAGTATATTTGAAAACTGTAGCCACGAATCCATTGCTGAAACATTTTGAGAAGTATGGCCTCTCCAAGGTTACAGTTGCCGAGCAGCCTGGACAGCCCTAATTTTTTTCACACATGAAGCGCCCGAAATTGAGGAACGAACGGCTTTTGGTTTTGTTGGCAGAGCGAGTGATGGTGAAACATGATTCCGGGCATCGCGGGGCCAGCGGAACGGAAACATGGTAGATGTCGAGCAGCACACGCGCACGGTAAAACTCGGTGATTCCCGATATCCAAAGCAAACCATCCTTGAAAACATGCAAAACAATTTGAACAGATTGGAAAACACGCAGAAACACATGAAACCCAGAGGAAACAACATGCCGGCGCCACAGTTGGTCGGCGAGCCTTGCTGCAGCGGGCCGATGATTTCCTGGCCGGCTCTTGGCCTTCAATGCTTGCGTCTGCGCACGCGCAGCAACCAAGCCCTGGCCCACGTGCTCGCGCCGCGCGCACCGCTGAGGAAGAAGCTACACTGCGCCGAGCGCGTGCTTGCCGCCAGGTTGCTCAAGGGGATCTTTCCCGGGCACGGGCCACCCTCACGGCCTCTCCGCTCGCGCCCGGCACAGCGGCCACTCTGGAGTCCTTAGTAGATCCCGCCCGGCGTCCTCCAGCCTTGCTTCGTCCCATCCCTGACCACATCAGTAATTACTGCCCGGACGCGGCGCTGCACCTCTCTGAGCAGGAAGTGGTCGACGCGTTGCGCACAGCAAAGCGCAGCGCGGCACCTGGCCTTAGCGGCGCAACCGCCGAGCATTTCAAACTGCTCCTCGACGATGGCGAAGCCCTCACACTCTTCACGGGGGCACTCACGCAATTGGCTAATGCCCACGTGCCGCCGGAAGTCCTCACAGCGATTTCCCAGTCTCGTCTCACGGCCTTAGCCAAGCCAGGTGGCGGGGCCCGCGGGATAGCCACGGGCGATTCGCTGCGCCGATTGACATCCCGCATCTTGGCGCGCAAGTTTGCAGCAACCTTTGATGTTGCCACGCGCCCCTACCAATTCGCGCTCCAAACACGCGCGGGGGTCGATGCTTTGGCTGGGTTGCTCCGTGCTGCAGTTGATCTTGACCCCCGGACAGCGGTCGTCTCCCTCGATGGCCGCTCGGCGTATGATTGCGTGTCGCGCAGCGCCATCTTCACCGCCCTTCACACCACGGCGCCGGCCTTGGTCCCATTTGTCCGGGCCATTTATGGCACACCTTCCATCTTCCATTGGTGGGACGATCAAGGCGCGCACCATGTCATCACTCAGGGCGAGGGGGTTGAGCAGGGCGACCCCTTAGCCCCCGCGCTGTACGCGCTTGGACAGCACCATGCCCTCGAAGTTGCTGCTGCCCAGCTCCTGCCTGACGAAGTCTTGGCCGCCTATCTCGATGACGTTTACATCATCTGCCAGCCTGACCGGGCACGGCCGGCATTTGACATCGTCAGCCGGGCCATCGAAGGCCATGCCGGGGTCGCCGCCAACTCAGGCAAAACTCGTGTCTTCACCCGCGCTGGAGGCCCAGCGCCGCCTGGCGTTGAAACGCTCGGCCCTGATGTGTGGCGCGGTGGTGACAGCCCAGAGTGTGGCCTGGTCGCCTTAGGCGCGCCAATAGGTAGCGCGGATTTCGTTGCCGCCCATGCGCACGGCCGACTTGAACAAGAAACCGGCCTCCTAGCCGAGATCCAGCAGCTCCCGGACTTACAGGCTGCGTGGCTCCTTCTTCTCTACACGGCGGCGCCGCGTGCTGGCCACCTTCTCCGCACATTGCCGCCCTCTCAATCTGGAGAGTATGCGCGCCAGCACGATAGTGCCGTGTGGAGCTGCTTGTCTTTTCTGCTCGGTGAGCCCGACCCCCTCCCGGCCACCGCTCACGACGTAGGCTTCCTCCCCATCCGACTAGGCGGCCTCGGCCTGTTCGCGGCTGAACGGATCGCTCCAGCTGCGTATTGGGCGGCATGGGCCGATGCCCTCCCTGTGCTGGCCCTGCGACAGCCGATCCTTGCTGCTCGCTGCGCCGCCGAACTTACCCTCGGCCCGGAATCGGCTGCGGCATGCCTCCGTGAAGCGGCCGCTTCAGCATCCGACCTCGACCGGTTTGGCTGGCAGTCGCGCCCGGGTTGGGCTGTCCTCGCGGCCAATGCGTCGGAAGTTCCTAACCTTCGGGAACGAGAGCCTGGCATCCCCGCGCATGGCTGGCAACACCTCGCGTCGCTCGTTGTGCAAACTTCTTTCCGAGCGCGCGAAGTTTTGCCCCGCCTCCCGCCCGCTGGCCAAGCGCTGCTCAGATCCCAAGCTGGGCCTCACGCCGGCGCGTGGCTCACCGCCATCCCAAGCGAGGAAGGCGCCACCTTAACGCCCAACCTCATGCACATTGCCCTCCGGCGCCGCTTACGCCTGCCTTTGCCGCCCGCGGCCCAGCGTTGCGGGCAGGGTGCCGGCCGCCATGGGTGCGGCGGCGCGCTGGATCCACTGGGCGATCACGCGCTGGCATGCCCACGCAGCGGTCTCCTCGCACGCCGGGCCCACGTGCTAGAACACGCATGGATCCGTGTTGCCCGTGAGGCAGTCGGCTCTGAGGGCCGGGTGGTCCCACAGCCTTGGCTCGCTCACACCAACTTGGCGACCGCGGTGGACGACCGTCGGCGGCTTGACCTTCTGATCCATGGCGCAACCCCGCGTGGGGAAGCGTTGGCGTGCGATGTTACGCTAGTTTCCCCGCTCACCCGAAGTGGCCAGCCCACCCGCCAAGCTGCAACTCACGATGGGGCAGCCCTGCTTGCCGCCCGAGCGCGCAAACACCGCCGCTATCCAGAGCTGCTTGGCGGGGGCCCCCAGCGCCTTTTGGTACTTGGCGCGGAGGTCGGCGGGCGGTGGCATTCGGAATGCCTGCAACTTGTGCGCCTGCTGGTCGCTGTCCGCAGCCCACGCGCGCCGCCGCCACTCCGGCAGGCAGCGGCACAGGGTTGGCAGCGGCGGTGGTGGGGCTTTCTCAGTATTGCCCTCCAAAAGGGTGTGTGCGCCACAGCACTCGGGGTTGAGTGGATCTCCCCACCGCTCCCCCACGCAAGCGCACCAGGCATGGCCCGCCTCCTTGACGCGGTTCCGATGGATGGTGCAAGCCGCCTCCCGCTTTCGTTTCACGCCTCGCCGTAGCTGCGTGGCTCACACCTGCTGAGCCGAGTCACCCGCGCTGATGTGCGATGGAAAAAAAAACATTCGGATTCATGCTGCGCCACCATGGCAGCGGATGTGAGCATTGAGCCCTGCCTCCACACGAGCGTGCTAAGAACCAATTCCATCCAATTCCCAACCAGTTGAAAAATATACTGTAATTACTGTAAATGTAATTAATGTAAAACAGTAAAAACGCTAAAAACCTGCTTCGGCTGGAGAAGTTCGGACAGTGTCGTTGATCGGGTTGGACATGGGCAGGTGGTTTTGCGGTTTTCACATGTTTTTGCCAGGTTTGACATGATGTCATGTTTTCAGATCTTGGCCCTGGCGCCGTTGAGACTGCTCAAACTTCAATTGAACCAATTCATTCAACACTTCCAGACACAGACCAAAATCTGGTCTATTCGCAGGCCCTTTGCGAAGAGAAGATGTGCGAAAAACAAATTTGATAGTAAACAGATCGTATCAGATCGTGATCCTGTCCATGATTTAGGCTCAAATCTTGGGTTTTGGTTTGGCCAGAGCAAGTGTTTCCAGAAGTTCGACGAAGCAATTAAACCAGTATCCCCGAGGATAATTGGCCTCGGGTTGTATCACCGGAAGGTACACATACTGTAGCGTTCTTGAAGGTGAGGAAACTATTTGAATGACGTACAGTACATTGCATGCAGATGCGTATAGGTGAATGCACATAAAATTTGGTTTCGACTGCGTTCTTGTTAGTTTTGGCAGTTTTCGCACTTTTTCACGTTCTCGCCATGTCTTTGAAAATTGCGCTGGTACAAATGGAGCAAGTGGAAGACCCTACAACTTACGACAAACGCAAGCAGGTGCAACATGCTGCTGACTTGATCCGTGGTGCCCCAGATGCTGATTTATACGTCCTCCCGGAGCTGGCTCCAACGGGATACTTGGTAGATTTGGCACTTGGTTGATTGTGGAGGGGTACCCTCTGGTAAACTAACATAACTATGGAAAATCACCATTTTTAATGGGAAAATCCACTATAAATTGCCATTTTCAATAGCTATGTTAAATTACCAGAGGGTACATTACATGATCCCCAAAAATTAAGGATGATCAGAATCCATGATGGGAATCCCATGGAATCTCTATTCACAAACCATCACAACCCAATATAATGGAACGACAGACCATGGTTGTGGGCGGACATACATGTGGTTTTGCAAGAAGCCCGTAGAGGCATGTATGACATAGTGAGTGGCAGTGAATATTATATATACGGTACGTATATATATATATATATGCCTATGACCCCAAAACCGTACATTCATTTTGTTTGGTTTTTAAACATTGCACGACCATATTTTGATATATTTTGCATGTAGATGCATGTAATAGGTATCATATAATATATATATATATATTATTATATACGTGTACACACACACATATATATACATATGTTATATATACATATGTGTATATATATATATATTGTATTGGGTTACATGTTTTTGGCAGGATCAATGAACCGGTGGCAGGATACAGCGAACACGTGTTTGATTCCTTGGACGTCCTTGCTGAAGAGAGTAACGTGGACGCCCTTTCCTACCAAATCTTGTCACAAGTCGCCAAGGAGCGTGGTTGTTTTGTGTGTTACGGAGTTCCTGGAAAACACAGAGAGTCTGGCTTCACCATCCGTCAAGTGGTGTTAGATGATTCTGGATCCTTGATTTCCATCTATGACAAGATTCATCTATGTGATTTTGGGGATGGTCGTGAAACAAAGTGGTTCCGGCCTGGAGAAAGACTTTGCTACTTCGATTGCCATGGATTTCGGGTGGGCGTTTTGATTTGCGCGGACATGCGCCACACCGAGCTGTCTCGTGAACTTGCCCTTGGCCGCAGCTGCGACATTCTGTTGCAACCGGCGGCTTTTGCCAGAGATGTTACATATGCAAGCTGGCAGTCCTTTGTCGAATGCCGTGCGTTGGAAAACCAAGTGCCACTTGTTATTGTCCACATGTTCATAAGACATACAGGCGAGGGAACAGGTTTTGGATGGTTTTTGCAATCTTTTTGCGTAGTTTTGTCTTGTTTGTTTTCTCATTTTGTTTTTTACCCCTCTATGTCCGTTTGCCCCCGTAAGGGCAGCCCTGAGCGGCATCTGAAAACCTTATTGTTTTTTCATCCTGTTCCAGCTGTTTACACATGCACACACCCAGGCATTCCAATGCAACAACATATTGAAGCTTGGAATCCCTAAGTTCCAGTTATACCGTTGTACAACGCGCCAGTTATACCCAGATGTCCAGGTATTGGGCCGCGGTGAACTATGCGGGTCCCAACTTTGGTGGCTCCATGTGGTGCCCTCCATGGGTGGACGGCAAGGAAAAGGTCACCTCACGGTTGGGGATCCTTGGCGATTTCTGGATAGGGGTTGCTAACTTTCGCGACCTATGGGTTGTAGCCGAAATGAATTTTCGGTTTTGGTATTTATCTTGGCAGGTCTGGCACATGCGTGAGTCATACCCTAGATGCACATTGGGGCTGTCAAGAAAAAATGCAAGCAAACCGATCAGTGTCAACGCCAGCGCCAGCTCTCTCAAAAAAACCTATGAGCATAGAATAAAATAAAAAAATATATTTTATTATTTCCCAAAAACGTGATTTAAATGAATAGGAATCAAAACAAAAAAACATTAGGGAAAAACAAATACAAATTGGAAAAAAATAAAAACAAAAAAATATACGAAAAACAAAAACACATGAATAAATGTAAAAATAAAATAAAAAGAGACAGAATTAAAAATGAGTAACAACAACCCAAAAAAATAATGAAAATATTAGAAAAGAAATATTAAAAAGTAAGTAAAACAATAAATCAACAAAACGAAAATGAAACCGAAAAAGATAAATACATAAACACAAGATGCAGCCCACGAACCCGAATGCTCACACGTACGTTAATGGTACAGATGTCAAAACACATGGATATGCAATCACGCAAAACACTTTTCTGCAATAGTTTATGTGAACAGTCTTCTACATATTTCCCCCGTTACCAGTCTGCAGTGTGGAGTGTGGAGTGTAGCGTGTGGAGTGTAAAGTGTAGAGTGTGGAGTGTAAAGTGTGGAGTGTGGAGTGTAAAGTGTAGAGTGTGGAGTGTAGGGTGGAAAGTGTAGAGTGTAGAGTGTGGAGTGTGGAGTCAGGAGTCTAAAGTGTAAATTGTGGAGTGTGGAATGTGGAGTGTAAAGTGTGGAGTGCGGAGTGTGGAGTGGAAAGTGTAGAGTGTGGAGTGGAAAGTGGAAAGTGTAGTGTGGGGAGTGTGTAGTGTAAAGTGAGGAGTGTGGAGTGTGGAGTGTAAAGTGTGGAGTGAGGAGTGTGGAGTTTGTAAATTGTAGAGTGGGGTGTGGAGTGTAGAGTGTAAAGTGTAGAGTGTAAAGTGTAGAGTGTGGTGTGTGGAGTGTAAAGTGTAGAGTGTCGAGTGTGGAGTGTGGAGTGAGGAGTGTAAAGTGTAAAGTGTGGAGTGTGGAGTGTAAAGCGTAGAGTGTGGAGTGTGGAGTGGAAAGTGTATATAGAGTGTGGAGTGTGGAGTGTAGAGTGTGGAGTGTAAAGTGTGGAGTAAGGAGTGTGGAGTGTGTAAAGTGTAGATTGTAGAGTGTGGAGTGTAGTGTTTAGAGTGTAGAGTGTGGAGTGTGGAGTGAGGAATGTAAAGTGAGGAGTGCAGAGTGTAAAGTGTGGAGTGGGGAGTGTAAAGTGTAAAGTGTGGAGTGTAACGTGTGGAGTGTGGAGTGCGGAGTGTAATGTGTGGAGTGTGGAGTGCAGAGTGTAAAGTGAGGAGTGCGGAGTGTGGAGTGTAAAGTGCAAAGTGTGGAGTGTGGAGTGTAAAGTGTAGAGTGTGGAGTGTGGAGTGTAAAGTGAGGAGTGCAGAGTGTAAAGTGTGGAGTGGGGAGTGTAAAGTGTAAAGTGTGGACTGTAATGTGTGGAGTGTGGGGTGCGGAGTGTAAAGTGTAGAGTGTGGAGTTTAAAGCGAGGAGTGTGGAGTGTGGAGTGTAAAGTGCAAAGTGTGGAGTGTGGAGTGTAAAGTGTAGAGTGTGGAGTGTGGAGTGTGGAGTGGAAAGCGTAGAGTGTGGTGTGTAGAGTGTGGAGTGTGGAGTGTAAAGTGTGGAGTGAGGAGTGTAAAGTGTGGAGTGTAAAATGTAAAGTGTGGAGAGTAGAGTGTAAAGTGTATAGTGTAAAGTGTGGAGTGTGGACTGTAAAGTGTGGAGTGCGGAGTGTAAAGTGAGGAGTGTGGAGTGTAAAGTGAGGAGTGTGGAGTGTAAAGTGTCGAGTTTAAAATGTCAAGTGTGGAGTGTAGAGTGTAGTGTAAAGTGTCGAGTGTAAAGCGCAGAGTGAGGAGTGTGGAGTGTAAAGTGTGGAGTGCGGAGTGTAAAGTCTCGAGTGAGGAGTGAAGAGCGTAAAGTGCAAAGTGTAAAGTGTGGCGTGTAAAGTGTAGAGTGTGGAGTGCGGAGCTTCCCCCATAGACAAGACACAGGAAAACCAGAGACTCGAGACGAGACACTTGGGTGCAGAAAAACGAGCATTTCGTGCGAGACCTCCTCCAATTTTGACATTTTCGACACGTTATCAAACAGGTTGGAATGTCACAAAGTGCCACGCCTGCCACGCAAAACGACATGACAACCTGCTTGGAAACCTTTGAAAAGGAGAGGTTTTGCAGCTTCCCCCATAGACAAGACACAGGAAAACCAGAGACTCGAGACGAGACACTTGGGTGCAGAAAAACGAGCGTTTCATGAGAGACCTCCTCCAATTTTGACATTTTCGACACGTTATCAAACAGGTTGGAATGTCACAAAGTGCCACGCCTGCCACGCAAAACGACATGACAACCTGCTTGGAAACCTTCGAAAAGGAGATGTTTTGCAGCTTCCCCCTTAGACACGGCGACGCCACAGGAAAACCAGAGACTCGAGACAAGACTCGTGGGTGCAAAAAAACGAGCATTTCGTGCGAGACCTCCTCCAATTTTGACATTTTCGACACGTTATCAAACAGGTTGGAATGTCACAAAGTGCCATGCCTGCCACGTAAAACGACATGACAACCTGCTTGGAAACCTTCGAAAAGGAGATGTTGTGCAGCTTCCCCCATAGACACGGCGACGCCACAGGAAAACCAGAGACTCGAGACGAGACACGTGGGCGCAGAAAAACGAGCATTTCGTGCGAGACCTCCTCCACTTTTCACACTTTGTAGCTTCAAAATCGACGTTTTCCTACGAGTTTTCCTAGGAACCTCTAAATTTTGCTACCTCAAAATCAATGTTTCGTGCGAAGCTTCCGTCCATTTTCAGCACATGTCACAAAATGCCACGCCTGCCACGAAATTTGCACCTCGTCGCCACTTGACGCAGCCCTGCCAATGCGATTTACAAAAACACGCAACACGATACGTCTAAAGTGCTGCGCCTGCCACGAAAAATGACGATGGACACGTCCAAAGTGTTGCGCCTGCCACGAAAACTGCAACACATCTTCTGCAAACGGCGCATAAGTATTGCGCCTGCCACACAAAACGACTTTCGGCACGTTGCAGAACACGTCTGAATGTCACGAAGTGCCACGCCTGCCACGCGAAACGAAGCAACGACGCATTGGAAACCTCCAAAAATGACCACCTCTGCAGAACTTCCCATAGGCACGGCCATACGGAGTTCGTACGAAGGGTTGCGGACGGTTGCGGACGGTTGCGACCACAAACGCAACGTCGAGCGAACACAACCTCAACCCCCAGACCCCCAGAGTGAAACGGGAACCCTTGCTACGCATTCGAGAAAAAACCAAAAAAAAGACAATAATATTTTTTTTTAAAAAAAACAAAAATATTTTAAACTCCAAAAAAAAATAGAATCCCAAAAAAAAATAAAATCCCAAAACAAAAAATAGAATCCCCAACCCCAAAAAAAAATAAAATCACCAAAAAAAATAAAATCCAAAAAAAAATAAAATCCCAAAACAAAAAATAGAATTCCCCAAAAAAAATAAAATCCCCCCCCCCAAAAAATAAAATCACAAAAAAAAATAAAATCCAAAAAACAAATAAAATCACTCAAAAAAAATAAAATCCAAAAAATAAAAATAAAATCCAAAAAATGAAATAAATGCCAAAAAAAAAGTTCTTTTATCTATTTTGGGAAAACTTGTAGGTACTTTTTTCTTTCCACCAGCAGTGAAACCACATTTTGAACATGAAAATAGGGACAAAAATGCATTTTTTGTCCCTATTTTCATGTTCAAAATGTGGTTTCACTGCTGGTGGAAAGAAAAAAGTACCTACAAGTTTTCCCAAAATAGATAAAAGATGATAAAAGAACTTTTTTTTTGGCATTTATTTCATTTTTTGGATTTTCTTTTTTGTGGGGGATTTTATTTTTTTTTGGGGATTTTATTTTTTTTGGGAATTTTACTTTTTTTTGGGATTTTTTTTTTTGGGGATTTTTTTTTTTTTGTTATTTTTTTTTGTGATTTTTTTTTTTGGGGGATTCTGATTTTTTTTGGAATTTATGTTTTTTTGGATTTTATTTTTTTTTGGATTTTATTTTTTTTTTGGATTTTATTTTTTTTGGATTTTATTTTTTTCGGGGATGTTATTTTTTTTGGTGATTTTATTTTCTTTTTTTGGATTTTTTGTTTTTTTTTGGGATTCTATTTTTTTTTGAATTTTATTTTTTTTTGGGATTTTATTTTTTTTTGATTTTATGTTTTTTTTTTTGGATTTTATGTTTTTTTTTGGGATTTTTTTTGGAGTTTAAAATATTTTTTGTTTTTTTAAATTTATTATTGTCTTTTTTTTTCCCGAATGCGTAGCAAGGGTTCCCGTTTCACTCTGGGGGTCTGGGGGTTGAGGTTGTGTTCGCTCGACGTTGCGTTTGTGGTCGCAACCGTCCGCAACCGTCCGCAACCCTTCGTACGAACTCCGTATGGCCGTGCCTATGGGAAGTTCTGCAGAGGTGGTCATTTTTGGAGGTTTCCAATGCGTCGTTGCTTCGTTTCGCGTGGCAGGCGTGGCACTTCGTGACATTCAGACGTGTTCTGCAACGTGCCGAAAGTCGTTTTGTGTGGCAGGCGCAATACTTATGCGCCGTTTGCAGAAGATGTGTTGCAGTTTTCGTGGCAGGCGCAACACTTTGGACGTGTCCATCGTCATTTTTCGTGGCAGGCGCAGCACTTTAGACGTATCGTGTTGCGTGTTTTTTGTAAATCGCATTGGCAGGGCTGCGTCAAGTGGCGACAAGGTGCAAATTCCGTGGCAGTCGTGGCATTTTGTGCGATGTGCTGAAAATTGACGGAAGCCTCGCACGAAACATCGATTTTGAGGTTGCAAATTTTCAGGTTCTAAGGAAAACTCGTAGGAAAACGTCGATTTTGAAGCTACAAAGTGTGAAAATTGGAGGAAGTCTCGCACGAAATGCTCGTTTTGGTGCTCCCACCTGTCTCGTCTCGAGTCTCTGGTTTTCCTGTGGCCTCGCCGTGTCTATGGGGGAAGCTGCAAAGCTTGTCCTTTTGTCATGTTGCCAACTGTGAAAATTGGAGGAGGTCTCGCACGAAATGCTCGTTTTTCTGCGCCCACGTGTCTCGCCTCGAGTCTCTGGTTTTCCTGTGGCGTCGCCGTGTCTATGGGGGAAGCTGCAAAACATCTCCTTTTCGAAGGTTTCCAAGCAGGTTGTCATGTCGTTTTGCGTGGCAGGCGTGGCACTTTGTGACATTCCAACCTGTTTGATAACATGTCGAAAATGTCAAAATTGAAGGAGGTCTCGCACGAAATGCTCAATTTTTTGCACCCACGTGTCTCGTCTCCAGTCTCTGGTTTTCCTGTGGCGTCGCCGTGTCTATGGGGGAAGCTCCGCACTCCACACTCTACACTCTACACTTTACACTCCACACTCCACAATTTACACTTTAGACTCCACACTCTACACTTTACACTCCACACTTTACACTTTGCACTTTACATTCCTCACTCCTCACCTGAGACTTTACACTCCACATTCCACACTTTACACTGCACTCTACACTTTCCACTCCTCACTCCTCACTCTGCACTGTACACTTTACACTCCGCACTCTGCACTTTACACTCCACACTTTACACTCCACACTCCACACTCTACACACCACACTCTACGCTTTCCACTCCGCACTCCACACTCCACACTCTACACTTTACACTCCACACTCCACACTCTACACTTCTCACTTTACACTCCACACTCCACACTCTACACACCACACTCTACACTTTCCGCTCCAGACTCCACACTCTACACTTTACGCTCCACACTCCACACTTTACACTCCACACTTTACACTCCTCACTCCACACTCCACACTTTACACTCCACACTTTACACTCCTCACTCCAAATTTTACACTCCACACTCCTTTCTTTACACCCCACACTTCACGCTCCACACTTTCCACTTTCCACTCCACACTCCACACTTTACACTCCACACTTTACACTCCTCACTCCACACTTTACACTCCACACTTTACACTCCACACTCTACACTTTACACTCTACACTTTTCACTCCACACTCCACACTCTACACTTTACACTCTACACTCTACACTTTACACTTTACACTCCACGCTTTCCACTTTACACTCCTCACTTCACACTTTACACTCCACACTTTACACTCCTCACTCCACACTTTACACTCCACACTCTACACTTTACACTCTACACTTTTCACTCCACACTCCACACTCTACACTTTACACTCTACACTCTACACTCTACACTTTGCACTTTACACTCCACGCTTTCCACTTTACACTCCTCACTCCACACTTTACACTCCACACTCCACACTCCTCACTTTACACTCCTCACTTTAAACTCCACACTTTACACTTTACACTCCTCACTTCACGCTCCACACTTTCCACTTTCCACTCCACACTCCACACTTTACACTCTACACTTTAGACTCTACACTTCACACTCTACAATTTACAAACTCCACACTCCTCACTCCACACTTTACACTCCTCACTTCAAACTCCACACTTTACACTCCTCACTTCAAACTCCACACTTTACACTCCTCACTTTACACTCCACACTCCATACTCCACACTTTGCACTTTACACTCCTCACTCCACACTCTACACTCCACACTCCACACACTACACTCCACACTCTACACTTTACACTCCACACTCCACACTCTACACTTTACACTCCGCATTCTACACTTTACACACTCTACACTCCCCACTCCACACTTTACACTTACTTCACACTCCACACTCCACACGCTACACTTTCCACTCTACACTGCAGACTGGTAACAAGGGAAGCATGTACAAGACTGTTCAAATAAACTATTGCAGAGAGGTATTGTGCGTCACTGCATAACCATGTGTTTTGACATCTGTACCATTAACATACGTGTGAGCATTAGGGTTCGTGGGTTTCATCTTGTTTTTTTTTGTTTTCTCCCATTTTCTTTTGGACATTATTTCTTTGTTTTGTAAATTATTTTCCCTTTAATTGTATTTTGTTTTTTATTTAAACCATGTATTTATTTTTTAATTTCATTTAGTTTTATTTTTTTTGTAGTTTTTTTGTTTGAGAAGGGGGGGTAGTTTACATTTTCAAAACAAAAAAATATTTGTTTCAATGTAAGGTTTAATTCCATGCTTGACACCAAATCTTTATAGCTAGTAGATTCTTGCATCTGCATCAATTAACGCCAAAAAATATAAATACATCACATCGATTTCCAGAACCTATATTCCATTATCGCATATACCCAAAGATAAATACCAAAAACCACCTGAACCGCATATAGGTTGTGCAAGTTAGCAATAGGGGTCCCCAAAAAACGACTGGACCCAATGACCCCCCAAATTTGATGGTTTATTATGGTTTATTATGGTTTATCATCATTTTTCTCCACATGGCTGTGGGGATGGATCCTGAAATCAGATGCATCCATATGATTTCATTGGATGTGAGGCTGACACCAATTGGGCCATTGGTTCTGCAGGGGGAAACTCAATCTAAAAGCCAGATGGATCAATTCGCTGGTTCGATTAGCGGTTTCAATGATTTAAAAGTTCCCCTCTATTTAGAGGATGATCACCACTGACTTTCATATGTTTGGGTGGCTCAACCCCAACATTTGGGTCACAGCAAGGATTGAGGAGATGGTTGTAGTGCACGAGGCGTCCAAGGACGAACTAGCTTCTGTGAGAGCTGATTTTCCGTTTCTGCGGTCCCATAGGGAGAGGGCAGACTACAAAGGTCCTTAGCCTCATTTTGTTTTAAATGTTGTTGCTTCTGTTTGACTTGGGATGACAATCGAAATTGGCTACTTGCCGATATTGGAAGGATGGCTTGAAACCACAAACGCGATCATCAGGTGATTTGGGTGAAAAATGCAGCAGACTGACGAATGACGTGACCCTTGGCTACTGTCAGGGCATGTCAGGGCTCAAGAGAGATATTGACGAGGTTGGAACATGACGACAGGCTTTGAGTTGAATCAACTCATGGACTTTCCATCCGTGCTGCGTGTGCAGCACTAGGGTGATGTTCCTGCCGTAGAGAGATGCTCTGGAAACGTTTGATGCATAGGTTGCAGGAACTCCTGGGAAATGTTCTGGAACCTTTATTCACTAGTTCAAGGTTTTTGCACCATACTGGTTTGGGGCTGTAAGCAACCAGGGATTGCTAGGCTATACTGTAACCTTTTTTACGCTGGCATTTTGTCATGCTTGGGGCAATTTGTAGCCATTACCTGTTTTGGGAGGCATTCAGATGCATTACTGTAGTAATTGCTTTGATCAATGCCAGACCAAGACAGTCTCAAGCGTCCTTTTCTATGACCCACACTTGATTCTCTGCAGCTGTTTCCTCATCAACTAATCAACTGATGCACGATGGATTTCAGACCGCAACTGCCAGAGACTGACCTGTATCCCGAGATGATACCCATCGGCCTAACATGATGTGCTAGGGATGCTGGTTTCAAGTTTGCTGAAAAACCCTTTGGATGATCCAACAATCTAACATTGCTCAGGGGTTGAAATCACCCAGCAGTTCTTCAACCTCACCAATTTCAATGCTCCGGGGTCGCCATGCCTATCCGCATGAAATGGAAGCCATCACATCTGGTGCGGCCAGAGGCTCGAACGACCTCAGATGCCAGTCGCATCCGGTCAGCAGCTGTGTTGGGTTCATTGCTGGTATCATTTCTGAGAGCCAAGTGTTTCACTTGCTGGATGATGATTTTGATTTGTGGACCAGGCCCTGCAAGAAATCATAGAATAGCCCATGCTCAAAGTGATCTGACAGGATGAGACTTTTGCATGTTTGCATCAAGGAGTTAGAGGATTTCCAGTTTTTGCATGTTTTTGCCGAGTTGCAGCCTTCGGTCAGTTCTTAAAAGAGATCTGAGGCATCACCAGAAGATCATATTTGTGTCGAAAACCGCCTCTACTAAAGGGAGGACAGGGCCGCTGGACATAAAAAACTCCCGACATCACCCGACATCGGGGCTGCCCGACAGGAGCGGTGATCCATTTAGATTCTCCAGATGAAGCTGCCGTTGGCAACGACAATCTGGATGAGGTACAGCCGAAGCGATTGCATAGCTGGGCAGGTGCCGGCTGGGCAAGGTGAAGGCAATGGGATTTGGTAGCAGTTTGGGGTTGGGGGTTGGGGGTGGATGTTTGATGAGCTGCTCCTTGCACAGTTTCTTTCGCACAGCTTTGCCAAGACTTGTGTTCAGCTGCGGTTCCTTTCTTGTATAATTCTGCCTTGGTCCAACCCATTGAACTCCCCAAACTGTTTGATACAGGATTTCAATATTCCCAAGGCATTTGTTCATTCCTGCTACATCGCAACAGTTCTGTCAATCTTTAAGGGGAATCTTTCCCAGCAGCAGGTCATGGCTATCGAGCGCGCTTTGGGGTGAAGGTTCCCTTCACCATCTGCGCCTGCTGCGTTTTGCCTCCCGGCGGGAATTTGGCCACGGCTGGAGAGGAGCGGTGACATTCCGAACGATTGATAACTGGGTTTGAGTCTTGCTGTGTAGTTGCTATCAAGATCATATTTTGATATATTTTGTTTGTGTTGTAGTGTTGTATCCTTCTCTATCGGGATGTAGCTTAGCCGATTAGCCTGTTGCTCCTTGGAGGATGGGACTGCTTGCATATGGAACGCCAAAGATGCGAAGAAGCTTTTTGAGATCCGAGCTCATGAGGGCGGGGTCTTGTGCATTGTATCCTTCCCAAACGGGAAGTCTCTTGGCCTGATCCTACAGTGACAATTGGAGGGAAAGTCTGCAAACAAACACTGAGTTTTTCTGGAAAAAAGAATGGTTTCCTGGAGATGTTCCCTGTAAGTCCTTTGGCCTGAGTTCGGTTCATAATTTATCCCCTTTTTTCGTGGCCCTGGCCGAAATCCATGGGCAGCCCCCTGCAAGTTGGATATACATATATTAAATATACAAAACTCAACGGCTGAAAATTGGGTCAGACACCTGGAGGAGGATTGGATTTTATCCAAGATCGATGGTGTAATGAAATCCAAAGAGCCCAACTGCGAACCCAAGGGGCCCTAATTGGTGGACCTAAGCGTGCTTAGGGCCACCTAACGAGCGTGTTTGGGGTCACCATGGGCTACATGAAGGGTGAATCCTGAAATCAAAACATGAATGCTAACCTCAGACCCCATAGATTCTATCCAGATGTGCACCCCAGTATACCCCAGTGGGTTAGACCCCCCAAAACTTTATCCTGATGGCCAGCTTTTTTGGCGGTCAGACCCCCCCGCCACTGCCCAATGGGGATATGAATATATATATATATACATGGATGATTATACATGTGTGTGAATTATGTCTTGTGGTATTTTGGATGCTGAAGTCAAACTTCTGCACCGACTTCAGTTGCGTTCCATGCTTAGGTGTTCTTGAGGCCAGTATGTGCGCACATTGGTTTAGTAGAAATTAGTTGTGCGGACCTGCCGCCAAGATGCTTCTTAACTGGCGGCTGCGATGGGTATGCCAAGATTTGGAAGTTTCAGAGTGCCAAGCCGACTCCTGGCAGAGAACCATTGGCCAGTTGGAATGGTAAGGAACAATTAGAATCGGTTAGAAGATATGGAACGGATGATATGGGATGCCATGGTTTTATGATATTTTATGGGCCAGCATTTTTTGAAACCCCTGCATCTCCATGTTCATCCATGCAGCACTGCGCTCTAAGGAGTCTATTTGGCTGTGTCTTAGCTGCCTGTAGTGCCCAGTTTGGACACCGTGGTCACTAATTGAAATCAACGGAGAATGTGAATCAGCTATGAAGGTTAGAGTGGCTTACCGAATCAAAAGCCGCATGTTTGAAACTCCAATGTCCAACTTGCCACACCTAAGGCTTGAACCATGGGTTCGCTGTGACCGGTGCAGTGGTTTATCCGGATGCTCGACAGTTGCTGAGCCTGGGTCTGGATGGCGTTGCAAAGGTCTGGCGCGTCGAAAACGAGGAGTTTTTATGTCAAGGTGGTGCTGGCCTGAGTGCCCTCGGCATCTCACGCTGCGCGGCTGCGCAAGGCGTTTTTTTGGACATGAATCATTTGTCCTGATATGTCCTGATAGTATAGGCTTAGTGACTATTAGTGGGGGGCCCTTGGTGAGGGCGTTTGTTTTTTGTTTTTTTTTCCAGTGCTGTAGTCGGTCAGTGTTCTCATCAGCAGAGTGCCCACAAGAATCGCAAGTATCCAGCATCCCTTTTCTCTTCTTTCTTCTCCAAATCGTTAACATCAGCACAACTGTCGTTGCCAACATCATGCCACAGAGCATGCAGAGCATGCCCACACTCCAAGGTTTTGGTGGCAATATCTTTACTGCGAGCCTGGAAGGAAGCATTGAACGATTCTCCGATGATGGGAAGCAGCTGTCAGTTTGGGATGGCCATGTTGGGCCTATTAATGTCATCATAGCAACTTTGGCCAAGTCACCCGCGCTGTTTGAAGGTCGCCATGTCCCAGGATGTCCCAGGGGGTTGGGGTTTCGGGTTTCGGCCTATGGTTTCTGAGGTATTTCCAGACGAATCCCGGGTGCTGACAGCCGGGGAAGATGGCCTGACGATTGTGTGGTCCATGTCGGGCACTCGCCACATCAAGCTGGGGCCATTTGATTCCCCTGTCCTTTGCCGCTTGGCGCCATGGGATTTGGGGGAGCCATCGAGAAGATATGCTTTTGCTTTTGTAGATCCGTATCATATCACATCATGTTATATATATATAATTATATATATATAAAGTTAACAATAATGATAATAATAATGATGATGATATATATATATATTGATAAACCCCTGTAATGCATATAATATAAATCAGGATTCTGGGGCCTGGGTTTTAATTTTGGAGGGTTTCTGGGTGTTAAAACTGGTTTTTGAATGGTGCAGGATACATATCAAAACGGTGTTGGCTCAGCACTATTCGTTAGTGGTGTTTTATCCAATTCTGCTCTGGTTTACATATGCGTGGTTTATTCAGGCTGCCCCGTCCAGGTCGGCCCAGGTCCGCCTAAGTCTGCCCAGGTCAATCCCAACTTGCAGGTTCTCCCAGGTTCTCCCAGGTTCTCCCAGGTTCTCCCAGGTTCTCCCAGGTTCTCCCAGGAAATTAGTGATTTCCTGCGATTTTGTGGGTTTCCGGGATTTCCTGGGAGAACTTGGGTGTTATTTTCTGCGTTTTTGTGGGTTTCCGGGATTTCCTGGGAGAACCTGGGTGTTATTTTCTGCGTTTTTGTGGGATTTCCTGGGAGAACCTGGGTGTTATTTTCTGCGTTTTTAATGTGGGTTTCCGGGATTTCCTGGGAGAACCTGGGTGTTATTTTCTGCGTTTTTAATGTGGGTTTCCGGGATTTCCTGGGAGAACCTGGGTGTTATTTTCTGTGCTTTTGTCGGGTTTCCGGGATTTCCTGGGAGAACCTGGGTGGAAACAGTTGGGGATGGGCCTGGGAGAGCTGCCAGAGTTAGTTCGGGGAAAAGTGGCTGGAGGGTGGCCCGCTATTTTGACCCGCAATTTCTAAATTTCTGCCGCAGGCGTTGCCGCCCCCTTTGGCCTGCAGGTTTGCCACGCTTTAAAGTTTAGTTATAAGCATTACAGGGGTATAGCAATATATATATATCTATCTATCTAATCTAATCTAATCTAATTTAATCTAATCCTATCTAATCCTATCTAATCCTATCTAATCCTATCTAATCCTATCTAATCCTATCTAATCCTATCTAATCCTATCTAATCCTATCTAATCCTATCTATTCCTATCTATCTATCTATCTATCTATCTCATGGCCCATGGCATTTGTTTTACAGTACTACTTGTATAAAACATCTTACAACTATTTGCTGCAGTGCGCTGTTGGATGCTTCTGGAATATCGATAAACATCTGGTAAGTGGGAAAGCCAATGGCCCCCAACTGCGCGAAGTTCAGGTGCAGATGTGTCGGCCTGTTGCCAGTGGATCCTCACGGGTTTCAAGGACGGCACAGCGCGCTTGTTCAATGCGAGTTCTGGCAGCATGCATTGCAGCTGGCAGTTGGGGCAGAAGGCACCACCAGTGGGGGCAGGTGAAGACAATTCATGAACAAACCACACATCTGATTTTGATATGTAATGTCGTGATTGCTAAGGTCCATGACACGGTTGAGATCCTAGAATCCTTGCACTGTTTCATATTCACATTTGGTGCCCATTAAGCCTGGCACCACTATGATGACACCGCTCAAAGATGATAAGCAAATGTTCTTGCAAGCAGCCCAAAGACATGGTCAATTTGGAGCCAGCATTGAAGGGTCACACCAACTTCCCCACAAGCAATGGGAGCATGTTCTGCAATGAATTCACACAAACATCATAGAATCATAGGAGAAAGAATTAGAGACATGATGAAACATGCAAGGTGACTTTCCCTTCCACATCATTCATATACGTATATATATATATACATACATATATATATATTCATATCATTCCATCCTCTGTGAAGGTCCTCTCCAAGGTGCCCTTTTAGGTGGCCGCTGTTTCACCGTCCGGTGCAGGCCACTAGGGCCATCAGCCCAAACGCAACATTGGAAGAAGCGGAGAAAGGTCAACTGGAAACCCATCGAGTTCAGGCACCCAGATTGGCACTGGATGATGGTGGATGATGGTGGATGTAAGTTGATGGTTTTTGTCTTTAGAAGAAAGCACCGGCTGCCAATGTTGCAGTTCTCCACGGAGCTTCGTAAACCCACAGCATTTGGACTCCCAATTGTTAGATGTCAGATGATGTCAGAGGATCAGCTCGAGGTAAATCATGTTACCCATATCCAATGTCAGTTCCTATAAACATCCAATAAACATCGAAAAAAACATCAACAAAACCACTTCACGATCTTCGCCTTTGGAGGCCTGTTGCTTCATCCCGGCCGAGTCCTGCTTCCTACTGGCTGGCGCCTTTGGGATGCAGGTCTGGCATTTTCCCGTGGTGGAGACCATCGACTGAGACGCCAGGCCGCCAGGGCCTGAAAGTGGTGCGGCCCTGCGAAAGGCCGGGGGATAGGGAAGAATGTCCGGAAACCTGGATTTTCCCATAGTTGTACTATCACTAAAACATACTTAATTTCCTGGCAGCAAGGAATAAGCACAAACACTCGATATTGATGTTTAGGTGAATGATGGTGAATGTATAGAGGTCGTTCTTGTCAATTGTTCTTTCAACCCATGGAGCGCGGATGGTCAAGTCCTATGGAGGATGTTCCTGTTACCTGCAGGATGATCAAAGTGCCGCTGGCGCCCAGAGAAAATCGGAGTTGCTGCAGGGTCCAGGGTGCCACGCCTCGGATGGGAACATGGTAGGACCTTCTGCAACATACGTTGGGCAGCAGATAGCTATGAGATCTTTGCAGATTTTGGTGAAGGACAAAGATGTCCATGTTGCTTTCTGTGCTGCCAAGAGGCTTGTGCAAGTGTAGATCCCATAATAATTATATTAATATTATATATATATGTATATATGTATGTGTGTGTATTTATGTGACCATATGGACTTACTTGGACTTATATTGACATTCGTGCGCATGTTTTTTCTTGAGGTCTGCGATATTATATACTCAGGCTCGTTGGCAGAGGCGTGAGGCCCCTCTTCATGAGGAGTGAAACTTTGGCAACTTTGCCGGAAAGACTATGGTACAAGAGAAGAATTTTGGATAATTGGTATAGTATCACTAGGAAGCCGTCTCAGATGGTGATGCCCTGTGGTGCATTGTGGTACACTACCTTTGGGTGCAGGAAACAATCAATGTACAACTGCTTGATGGCCCGGCCGAAGGCTCAAGGGGCTCCGAGGAAAACGTCGACTCCGGTGGCAGTTTTGTTGTCCTTGCTGCAACCCACAGCTACAGAACCGAAACCGGAACACCAGTTCGGCAGCAGATATATCACTAGCTATTCATCAATGTAAATCAATTGTTCTGAGTTCATCTACGCATGTCATCTAGACACACGTACCGTGCATCAACACATCAACACATAAATCAATACACACACATAGATATATTTATATATAATTATCACACACCCACACACACACACACATCTACATCATATACTGCCGGCGCCATGGACGAGCCTGCCGAGCTGAGCTCCTCCGTGCCGGGGCGATGTCATTGGGAGGATGCCAACAAGGAAAATGGAGAGTTTTAATGGATTTTTAAAAGGGCAACTTATGGATTTCAAGGGATTTTTTAAATGGATTTTTAGTGGATTTTTATCATTTTTTTAAATGAATGTTTGATGGATTTCACTTGATTTGAAGTTATTTAGAGGGATTTTCATTGATACACTTACTAGTTCCTGAGTGATTTTGGTTTATTTTCAACGGATTGTTGAATGGATTAAGCAGTCGATGGATTTCAATTCAACCGCGTCATTCTTTTGAAAGTCATAATTGACCCAACATGGGAATAGTATAGACGTGAGCAGATTTTACCCAGGCAAGAAACATGGGGATGTGAAGCAACACAATTTGGAATAATTGGGACGAGAACGAACGCGATTGATTAATTTAATTAATCAGCGAAAATGAGGGTTGGTCAACAGACAAATTGGGAGATAAAAGCAACCAATCCACCATCACTATCAAATGTGATAATCAAATTTGAGCAAATTTTCCCGGATTTTCGACAATAAGAATGAGGGTTTAAGCAACAAATGCCGGGATAGTCACGGCATTCACGTGAAAATTTGGGGTTTTAAACTGAGAAGAACGGGATACCAATTTTACTAGCCTAGCAAACTTATGAAAATTGGGGACGTAAGTGACATGAAGCAACAGAAATGAGGGGTTTGAACGACCATGTGGAGTCTTCACCCACCAAAACGGCCAAACGCCCAGGCAATGCGGGCATTGCAGCATTTATTCCTGGAGTAGCTCGACGATGGGAAAAGATCCGCTGTGGATCCAAGGGATCTGAGAGATTTTTTGAGGATGTATGAGGATGTGGGTGGCGGAACAGCCATGATCAGCCATGAAAAATGATGTAAACCATGGCCATGCTGCGAGTGATTTCTGGCCGAGGCAAGAAGCTCATTTGGTTTCATCTCTCCAGGATCTGTTTAAAGATCAGGAGAAACGCATTGCCGCCGTTATCGCTGCTTGGCACACATGTTCTGAGGTCTCTGCTGTTTGTGGTGGATTTGGTTGAAGTTGTGCCCCAACTTGATGGTCCCACCTGCAGATGCCAGCACAAAAAAAACATGCCGCTTGGCGGGCCGCTAAAAAAAAGATTGCACCTGGTAAGTAAAATCTCACAATCCAAAATCTCATGGATATGATATGGTTCCTCTGAAAAAACATGTGATTTCCATTGCATCCATCGGTCACTGCAGCCGGATCAGCCAGGCTGCTTCCCAGGATGGGCCGAAGGCAGGGTCGATGGGATCCGCAGAAAGGTGTGGAAAAGTCACGTATCAGATCACCGGTGAGAATCTGGGGTGAACACTTTCTACAAGGTGGTACCCCCCAGTTATAAGTTGGTTTATAATCCCCATTAACTATAGATATAACCACCATAAACCCTAGTTATTGGACTTATAAACCAAGTTAGCTAACTATGGGGCACCACCTTGTATATCCTCATATGCCTTCCCTTTGGTTCTATTCTTTACATTGGAGGAACATGGGGAACCCAAAGAACAATCACGAGGGTGAATGGATAAACCAGCCAATCAGCATCCAATCATCTTGCAGAACCCCTATCATCATAGGTAATTGGCTTGTAAGTTGAATTCCGAACCCTGCTGGGCAGATCTCAAGCCAGCAGCGGCAGCTTTGGTTTTTGATATCTTTATGATGTCTGACAGGGTGACATGAGGATGCTTCTGAAAGCAGTGGGGCATCACCTCCATCCACAAGAATTTTATGTTGACACCCTGGCGGCCTGATGAGCCGTAAATCAGCTGGCGTTTATGGATCTTCATCCCTACAAAAAGGACCTGACCCGTCCCCATCAAGCAACAATGAGTTGCAGCTGACGCCTAGTGGATCCTAATGGCACTCAACTCGGCCTCACCTCCTCCGTTGTCAGGCAACACCGTCTTCACCATTGCCCCTGAGCAGGCGGCAACCGTCGCGTAGTAACGGTCATCAGGGGAGGATATCTAGCTCCAAAGGACACTGGAATCTCTTGGGCCTCAGATGATCTCGGATTCCTCCACCCCCAACAATTGCTGACTCACAATGGAACGACTGCGCAGCGGCTTGGATTACAAGTGTGAGGTTGTTGCCATGTTGCCGCAACATGTCCAGTTGGCAACATCAATTTAGAGATAAGAACAAGGCAACAGAATAAAAGGAGGCTCGCAGGCCCAGCGGCTGTCACATTTCGCTCAGCAAGTAATTGAATCATATCAAGGTCCAGCAACTGCAACTGCCATGTGTGACGTGTGGGCATGAGCGACATGGGAACAGCAATGGCCAACATGCCAAGTGGCGTTCCGGGATCCTCCCGAGAACGGTCAGATGTGGCGGATCTGGAGAAACAGTTGGTGCCTTGCAGATGGCCGGAGGGATGTTGTGGTTGCTGGTAGGAAGCCCCTGAGCAGTGGCTCAGGCCCTGCCCCAAGTAAGAAAACATGATGCAAACGGGGTTGCAAACGCTTCAATCACTGGGATTTTGATGGATTTTGTACCAGTTCAAGGGAGTCAACATGTTTAATCATTTTTGCCAGCTGCAGGAGCCGGATCCTTGTGTTTTGCGGCCTATCCTTGTAGACTTTCCGAGGTGCAAGAGCAGATAGTGCCAATCCCTCGCAACAACTCCTGGTCTGGCACAGAGCGTCGAGTGGAATCGAGCCCTGAGTTGGCTGCTTCACGACGACTACGTGAACCTGGTGGCATCTTGGAGAAGGGCTCCTGTTTTTTGAGGGGCCTTCTGGTGTTAACAGGGATATAAATGAGAGTCGATGACAAGATCCATAAAGCTAGTAGCTTCATACATCATCATACATCTTCATACCCATTTAATTAATGCCAATATCATCTATCAATATCCATGAGCTACTGTGGATAGTTGCGAAATCCAAATCCCCAATTGGTAGATGGAAACCCTTGATTTCCAGTGTTTCATAGGAATCCCAATGGTCACCAACCGAATGCCAGGCTTTAGAAGAGGCTTCTTGCAGGCCCAAGCTCTCAATGAAGGAGTTCAGCAAGCGGAGTTGCCCAGCAGATGGACTGGGAGGTTGGTGGATACCTTGCGTGTGCAAAGCTTTCAGGCGGGGGCTGGCGGTGTTTTCTCTCGGACCACTATTAGGACTATGAATTCTCCAAATGGCACAACAGTTTGTGCTTGTTTCGTATGAAATTCATACAGTGATAATCGCACACACGCACATTATGTACAATGTATATATATATACATACAATTTATATATACACACATACATATATATATATATGTATATTGTGTGTGTGTCTGTAACATTGTGTGACAGTGTTTTCAATCTTCATTCACTGCATATGCCACTGGCCTTGGCCATGGCCATAGGTGGAAAGTCACTTTTATGGCTTGGACCTGGACGAGGACCGTTGCCCACCAAGCTCTGTGACCGTGCTGATGCGTCATTTTGACGAGCATCAGATATAGATGCCATAGCATGAGATATATTGTTTTAGCTATATCTATATCTGTATCTATATCTATATCTATATATGTGTATGTGCTATAACATCAGCTACTGATATGCAAACATTTAGATATACTCACAGTCTATATTGAACTGAACTGAGTGTTAGTATATGCTAAAACTAATTGATTGTTTGCTGATATTATAGATCAATATTGGGATGAATAGCAATGGATTGTAGGGGTGATGGTAACAATCTCCATTGCAGTAAATAAATCACTGAATACATATATTTTCCATAGCAACTTGACGATTGTCTAGTTATTCTATTTTGATTTTTGACCGGAGCTAAAACCCAACTTCGAATGTTGCAGGGGTCAAGTATGAAATTATCCAAGTGTTTGAAGCTAGGTAATATGTCCAGAATGATGCTACTGACTACTAGTGGTGAAAACATCATGTTGTACCAGCTTGAATTCAGACGACTGCAGGATTCCAAAGATGAACCGCCACCTGCTGGAGCTGGGAATCTGAGTATCGCCTTCCTAATCTTTAAAGGAAATTGTGGTGCACCGTGCTTCGCAAAGTACTCTAACCTTTTTCTCCAATCTGTTTTTCAAATTTGCGATTGACGTGTGCAACTGTGTGCGTATAATGGCGTATTCAAGTATTCATATCAACCCTATTCTACCCTCCAGTAAATTTAACATAGACCCTGCCAAATAGGGGCTTGCAAGATGAGTTTCCTTCAAAATTTAGCCATTTTTAGGGTCTATGTAAATCTGGGGGGTGTACACACACACATATATATATACACACATATTAATATATATATATATATATTACATATGTATATATATATATACACATTCATATGCAGTTCCATTGCGCTATTTGCATCCATGATCGCAGCATCTATGATCTACCGATGAACCAAGGCTGTGCGATCCTGTACATGCCGCGGGGTTGGATGCATGGAGGTTTGCTGCTCGCATCCATTGCTGTGCCGCTGATTGGTTTCGCATCCATTTGGTGCTCTTTGCGCTTGTTGAAGGTCGGCCGGAGGGTTTTGATATCTCAGAGTGATATATAGCATTATGAAATGCAATTGTAGGAATTGTAGGCATTTCGTTGGTTTTTAGCTCACGCAAGAACAATGAGATGTGACTGTTCACGTCATTTCACGTCAACCAATACCGTCAGAAGGAATCCCAACAAAGAGTCTTTTGACAAATGTGAATTGATTCTGCTGCAAGTAAAGCAAGGAAAATGACATACTGTATACATACATATATATAGATATCTGTGTGTGTGTGTATCCGTGTCTCTCTCTGCACGTATGTCCTTGTCATCCTTCTTGCTGCCTCGAGGTGCGCATGCAGACTGAAGGTTATGCTGGTTATGGCGAGTTGATGAGCAATGCCATGGGGGTGTGGGGAAGAAGAGGCACCAACATCTTCATCGTCTTGTTGCAGTCCGGCATTTGCTGTACCTATTTTATTGTCGCATGCACGCTGCTGCAAAGCACCGTTTGTCCTAAGGTTGGTTTGAACCCTTCATGATTTGCATAAGTTCACTTTTGCTTTTCTGGAGCCCTCAAGACTTGCAGCCTAATAGGGCAGCGTGCTGTCAACCAGGAGGTATCAGGATACGCTCCATTTTTGGTTGTCTCGGAGTGTATCATGTTTGTTCTCAATGGCATCAGTGTATCAAGATGTATCAACATAGATTGGCCCAATAGGCTAGGCATTGCTACGACAACACAAAAGATGCACAACCAGAGGCATGCACCGGGTAGATACACTTCCTGGTGACTGAAGGACACAGCTAATCCCATGCCCCAAATGTTGAATTTCCCTACAGGACCTTGGTTTTGTACTAGTTACTAGATCTATTCATTTGGGGGTCGTTTGGTGGGTATTTAATCTGGTGGGGATGGGATTGGCAAGCCTTGAACTGATCATTTTCACCAAGGAACATCTTAATTCCCTGCATGTGCCTGGTGATTCTGCCGGTGGTGGCCATTCGCAAAATCTCATCCCTGTGGCCCTTGAGCTTGTTGGGCACTCTCCTGGTGGTCCTGGGAGTGGTGGTGGTCTTCGGGCTGGAACTGGAGGGCCTGGTTGAAACTCACGACCGCGGGCCGTTGCTATGGATGAACTGGAGGGAGCTGCTGGTGTGTTTGGGACAGGCCGTATGATGTGGCAATGGGTAGCACATGGTAGCACATGGTAGCACATGGTAGCACATGGTAGCACATGGTAGCACATGGTAGCACGATAGCAGCTTCAAACACAGAACTTCTTCGATCTTGTTGCGGACATCCCTTTCAGCGAATGGTTTCACATGGTTTCACCCTGGCAGGCTTGCTTCATGTTTGAAGGGATTGGCCTGATCCTTCCCACCTTCGATGCGAGCAAGAAGCCAGAGGACTTCCCCTGGATCTACACCATCACAATGACCGCAACGCTAAGCCTGGTATGTTGTATCGGGCTCTTTGGGTACATGGCGTTTGGCCAAGGGGTGCAAAACCTGGTCCTGTTGGATTTTCAGCCGGGAGTGTGGCTGGGCTACGAGACAACGTTGATAATTTGTAGGTCAATCACTTCCCTGAACTTGATATGTTGACTAATGTTGACCAATGTTGACTGTAGCATACTATAGCGATCCATGACCCCTGACTTTCTCAGAGTCTATCCACCAAACCCGGACACAAAATGTATCCAGATCATCTGTGATCATCCGAAGCAGGTTGGTTTTTGGAGTGCGCCTGGCCTTCATGTTGCAAGTCTTGTGCTCCTTCCCACTGCAGATGCTTCCGGCCTCACGTCTCATCGAGGGCCTTTTCTTTGAGCGGATCTCCGATCCTCCCTTGTCACGGAAATTGGCCAAAACAGGCAGGAGAAAACTTCCATGGTTTGTCCAGAAATGAAACCCCTAATCCACCTGGTGATGGTTACTTGACGTAAGGAAATACATGGATTTTTGGGGGTTCAATTTTAGATCTGTATAGATATGTAATAGATGATATTGGACTGACTTTACCGTCTTATCCTTCTGGGAAAGTCATATAGGAAAAAATACATCCAAGAATGATGCAAACACGCTGGGTGCTCAACAATGTTGTTTATGATGCAGAGGATCATCCACATGGGTGACAATAAACATACAGGCATACCAAAGATGATGCGGCCGGGCATGCGCTGCTGCCATGGTCTGATGAGTCTACCGAGTCTAGTGAGTCTAAAGAGTCTAACAAGTCTAATGCCAACATGTGAGGCTTCCGATTTTTGCTGGTGATATGTTTTGCTGCGATTGCCTATCTGGGGGCAAGCCACTTGGACAATTTCGTGAGTCTCATTGGGGCTTTGTGCGGTATGCCCCTGGCCTTTATTTTTCCAGCTGCTGCACATTACATTCTCATCAAGGAGCTGCGACAATGAAAACGTGTGTTATGCGGCAGTTATGCAGCAATTGTGCATTAAGCTTCCACGAATTTCCACGAGCATTTGAACCTATTTGAAGCATTTTGAAGCATTTTGTGAGCATATGTGAGATCAAGTACTACTTTTTATGGTCGTGATCCAGGGAAGTGGTGAAGCCACAGCCCCGATGTGTGTTGTATCACGGTGAAAGATTGGTAGCACCACGGGGGATCCACCGTTGATCTCCTCATCCGCATTGATCAATAGCAGTGTTCAACGTACTTCAGCGATGTGTATCCATCTATCCATCAATATTATTTATATATATATATACATCACGTTTTTTTCATTTTATCCGTATAATTTCATCATTTTGACTATGGAAGAATGCCATTTTAATGATGGGCCCAGAATTGGTCATTTCTCTGGTCATTTCGAGGAGCAGCAGTGGCTGGACCTGCTTCTGATGGCCATTGGTGCCGTGCTCACCGTCCTGGTGACGGCCGTGAATCTCGTGGCGTTCATCCCGAAGTAACGGAGAGGGAAAATCTGGTGATTTTACAGAAAAAATGGCCATAAAAAATGGAATATCAATGGGGATATCGTCAGAATATATATATATACAACTACACTCAATGTAGATGGGGTATTTTTTTTTAAAAACATGAACAACGGTCCACCTTTCATATTTGTTTCGCGGGCAAACCATGGCAACATAATTATAGATGTCAATTCAGGTCATCTACCATATGCGAATGGGAAAAATCTTGCGAATCTTGGACATTTATGAGCACCTTCTGTGTAAATGAAAGATGTCCAGTGCCAAGTTGGAATACTGGAAAGCAGTTTGATGTGGGTGTATTATCAATTCATGATATTTGTACCCTTTCTGGCAGGGAGCTTGCGCAAGGCAAGGGGTGGCTGTTTCTCCCTTTGTTCGCACTATCACTAGCATAGATGAGCATGTACCCCATGCAAAGGACGGTCCATATGTTGGCCTCCCATGCTGCCGCAAAGAAAACCAGAAGTAGCGGCAAGTGACTGGGTTTCGGGTCGTGAATGGCCCAGGCATCGTTTGACCCAGGGTTCAGAGGTTGCCATGCATTAAGTCAACTAGCTTATGAAGTTCCCTGTTCCGAGCATTTGAAGATACTAGAGTTCAATGTAATTAGTGTTTGATGATGCTAGAGCTGCTAGAACCTGGTGTCAACATCGAGAAACATCCAGAAACTCACCCAGTCCGCATCAGAAAAAGGTCAGCATGGTGCACTTTTTTGCCCTTTGGCTTGATGCAAAAGTTCATTCATCCTGATTTAGAGAAAATATCACCATTTGTGAGCATCTGGAAGCGACTGAAACCATTTCATGGTCAGGATATGTCAGGATGTTGTATGATGTTGTAGCAATCTGTTTGCTGGCAAAATCTGACAAGAACTGTGTGTTTCCCTGAGCAACTCTGGCAACTCTCCAACCATGTGCCACCACACCACCTTGCAGTGATCACTTGGATCACCTGGATCACTTGGCAGGTTCCATAAGGCACCGGCAAAGGTGCCAAAAGTGAAAGGAGGATCACCAAAAATGGAATTGCCCAACGTGCCGCTGCACACCGAAGAGGTTGAGGAGGAGGATCGACACGGCAAGAATGAACCGAAGGAGTCTGGGGGGTGTTCTGGAGATGATCGGGGAGGTGTACCAGCTGATGGTAGGCCTTTGGTGGGAATTTTACAAATGGTATTCAACGCAGCAGTTCTTTTGATGTCTTGCGTGCAAAATTCGACTGTGACTCTTGTGCAAGTACTTTTCAGCTGCATTTGCTGCGCAAATCGCTATCCATCACACTCCCATCTTTTTGAAGCACACTTCCGGGATCTTCCGGGTCAGGAAACATTTGTACGTGCCATGTCCGATGAGAAGGATGATCCGCCCACCATCGAGGAATCGGAGGGCCAGACGTGCCTTAGCTCGATCCTATACCTAGCTGTGTCGTCAACTGCGAAACCGTAAACCCTTGGCATTTTCTTCGGTTTTATTCTGAAAGCCGGCCAGCAACATCCAGCGACTGAGGGGACAGCCGAAATTGCTACGCAAACAAGTGCAGCCATTGCAAGAATTTGCGGAGTTTCACCAGACCCAGTGCCTTGGAGTGAACCACTTGAAGCCCTGGTCATGTCCAGAAAATTGAACATGAAAACATGAGGAAACCTGCCAACGTAGTGCGATTTTCTAAGAGAACATTGAACATGTTTTTTTTCCATGTTTCCATTTTTTTTGCTGCGTGTTTTTCCCCCATTTGTTTTCAAATGTTTGTTCCAACCCTTTGAGCTGATGGTATGGTGATGGTGGCGACCTGGATAGGTTTTACCATCGAAGAGTTGGCTATGAGATCTACGACACTGACACGAAATTTCAGGCAAGGGATTTTTAAGATGTGGAGGTCACATTTTTCACTGGATTTCCTCCATGGCCCACAGCTATCCACGGTCAGGTGGTTGATGTTGCTAATGCTACCGCTGGAAGTGCTGAAGCATTATTTCCCAGCTGGAAAGCGGTTCCCGATTTTCCACGAGTTGACGTATTTCCTGGACAGGTGTATCAGAAGAAGACCCGGAGATTCTTAGACTCGTCACTGCACCTTGTCTGATGATGGCCACGCATATCCATGCATACATTTGCATGCATGTGTAATGTTTGTTCGAATCCTTGCAAGTGTGAGTTTTGAAACAATCATAGCAACCAGAGCCGGCAAAGAGCCGCAGGTTTGGCAAAATCTTGGCTGCAATTATCCTGCTCAACTGCGCGAGTATGGGCAACTTAAGCTGCATATAGTATGGGGTGTGGCCTTTGTTTTGCCAGGATTTTGCTTTGTCTTTTCAAGATTGCACACTGACGCGGTCCAAACAATCTCATCAGTGGAAATATGAGTTCAGAATTACACGATATATGATATATCACGCTATGATATGCATAAACGGGACCAAAGTCCAAAGGCACATTCTTGGCCTTTGGCCTGAGCCTGACACCGTATCCCAAGTGGTCCCCGAGGATGGCAGGTGGATTGGGGAGTGCGAAATTATTCTCTGTCTGAGCCAGTGCCTTGACCTTGCGATGCGCCGATGCGCGAATGCATCAAGCATCAACTCTGATGAAATCCCAGAGGTGTCCCGTTGTGTTTGTGGAGGATTTCTTGGAGCTTTTTTGCCCATGGTATCCCATGGTCATGCAATACATGGTTCAAGAATGGTTTGGTTCGCGGGGTTGCTTTTGACGCTTCCGATGCTTGAGTTTTGCACCTGGCAGCTGAGAAGCTGACCGCAAACTCAGGTGGTTTTTGAGGTGATCACAGCAACTTGGGCAACACTTCTAAGCAAGAGGATAGCTGGCAATCGGAAACTCCCACAAGGAAATGGTTGCATAAGCGTTTTTCGCTTCCAGGGCAGCCCCTGGGTCAAGAAAACTCATCTCAGCCTGCAGATTCCAGAAGGCTTCTCGCAGGACATCCTGCTTCAGGTAGTAGCCATCTTATATAATTAATTAAGCATACTCACACACACACACATATATATATATACACAGATATAAAATGATATATACATATATAATCACATATGCATTTATACGTGTACATATTGAGAGAGAGAGAGATGCACATATAAAATACATACACAAACACATGTATAGCACATACATTACAAACGGCCATGGTAGATGGCACCTGATGGCACCTGTCCCCTGCCTGTCCCCAAGCTGCTAAGACCTTGTTCACCTTGGTCTTCAGTGTAGAGTTCGCCACCCGATGTTTCGCCTACGGGATCTTCATGTTCAGCTGGTACAACTCAGCCACTTGGCTAACAAAGACTATGGAAAGAGGGGTAAATGTGTGCAGAATCACCACGAAAAACATAGAAATGGGCAGTTACTAGCGGAAAGTGTTGGAAATGTGGACATTGCATGACATACCCCTGAGTCCTTGAGATATAGAATCGATATAGATGTGGTGTCCAAGTACAAAAACTTATATGTATGCTATGTATGGGCAGTAAGGGGTCACAAGCGGTGCAAACTCGCCAGATGCCAGTGGCCGCTTATAATCAGGACTGATCGGTTGCACAATGTTTTATCCATTGTTCAAGGTGCTGACTCATGAGCCAATCCATGCCAAGATGCTGTTGTCATGATTTTGTTGAAAGGTAGCGAACGTACCAGGGGACGCAAGGTGATATTTGGCTCTTTTAGATCTTGTGGCTTGGAAGCAGGGCCAACTTCCAACCCTTTCTAGCTTCAAGGTAGCCAGCCAGCTGCTTCCCAGGAAATTGGGTGGAACATTTTCGATGGCACTTTGGTGCTCAGCTCTCTTCTTGACGAGACCTGGCAAGGATAACAACAGTTGCTTCATATTTTACCAGTCCGGTGAGATTGGGGCAACTAGTATAGTATACGGTTTACGGTTAACATACGATTAACAAACGGTCATCCCCCGTGTTCATCATCGTTCACCCCACACTCTGCTCCCCGGTAATCAAACAGAGCTGGCTGGAACATAACCCATTAATTCTGATGAGTTTCCTGAGTTTACCAGCTTTTTGAAACCTCCATGGCTGCGGAGATGTCCCTGCCATGGTCGATGACACTGGAGGATATCCCCATCAATTCCCATCCAATCCCCATGGATATTCCCAGTTTTTTCTCCGCATCAACGGTAGTTATATCCCCGTTGTATTATCCCCATTGATTAATATTAATTATATCCCTATTGGAGGATAGTATCCCCGTTTTTTTCCCTATTGGAGGATAGTATATCCGTTGTATTATCCCCATTGATGATATATGATGATATCCCTATTGGACTATTAGTATCCCCGTTTTTTTTCCCCAATCTGCGTAAGGAAGTTATGAGCAGAACATCTGATGGCATCAATGTCACTGCGTTGCGTGTCCTTAGACTTGCGCGCTTACTGCGCATCCTCCGCACCCTGGCTGCGGATTGCCGAGGGTTTTTGTGGTCGCGGATGGGAGTTCAATTGGAAATGCCGTTATGAATGGAGGTTGGAGATGTATCGATAATATAATATAATATAATACAATATGATATGATATGATATAATATATATAATATAATATAATATAATATAATATGACATAATATAATATAATATGATATAATATGATATAATAATATATATACACATATTATTACATGGTAGGTTTTCCATTGCTATGTTGGATTACCTGACGGGAGAGAATCTGTGAGATTCCTTGTTTGTGATATTCCTGTGGGTTCAATAAATGCTTTCCTGATATTGAACCTTTATTTATATATTTATATTTGCTTATATATATTCTTTTGCCCTGGAAAGGTAGATGAACCAGGGTGGCCCACATTGTGACTCAGGTGTGTTCCGCGTGGTGCGTTATTTTACAGACCTGAGGGTGATGGTGCAAGGCGGCGAGTGTTTGATGGACGATGCGGGCACCTTCCTACCAGACGGCAGTCCTGAGAATCATGTCCTGGTGGGGGATAGGTGCATTACTTGATCATCACTTATAACTTATATCACATTATATAATCTTTATAATATTTATTAAATTTCATAAATTTCATTAATACAACTTTTTGCTCGCATTGGCATACCTTGGGTGGCACAATTGCAGTAAATGATAGTTGTGATAATGGCACATTGCCTCGGCTGAGATGCTTGATCTGGCCATATCTTGCCAGGCATCCTTCTATCCGCAAAGACGTTGATCTGGGCAATCGCTTTGCTCATGGTATTGATGCATTTCGGCAGAAACTGGTGACAACGGTGACAACAAACGATACCAACATTCTCAAGTCAAATGCATACACAACAAGCTATGGCCCTGTCCCAGCCCAACAATTCTCACAGGACTTAAAATGTCGGGAGTCGGGAGGCAAAGAACATTCAAGTGCAGGGCAGGGCCGTTCCATTATACATAAATAATCATAAATATGCAACGTACTCGTATGCACACATCTACACAGACTACACGCACAAAATATGAGTCATAGAGTTGTCCGACTTAGTGTTGTCCGACTCCAGTGGATTCCAGTGGATCAGCGCGCCAGCATGCGCCAGCATGCGCCAGCCAGTCCTCGAGGTTCTCCGTGACAGTCTGCATTTGCCAGTTGGAACCTCAGAACAGACTTAGAGGATTGGAAACCAGTCAGTCAGATAGTGAGAACCGGGATGCAACATGATACAAGCCCAAGAGCTGGCCTCAAAACGCGACAACGCATGATTTGATTCATATAAAGTGGTCACCATATGTCACCATGAAAATCCGATTGTCAGTACATGAGATAAAGTAATATTGAGATGTATATAGTTGGTAGCTAGCCGTATGTTCCCAGCGTTTTTGAGCCCCGCCACTAGCACCGGTGTCACCGGTTCATCAAGATTTGGTTGCCCCAGGTTGCTGCGGCCATACCTGGCCTCCTTGGAATCAGAAACCGAGAAGACCGAACTCACCGACTCCTTCGGCTCCATGTGCCTTGATGGCGGTCTGGTGGTGGAATTCTGTTTGATGAGTTGGCTTTGTGAAAACACCACCAAAACACGTTCCTGGAACAAATAAAACAAGCAACATATACAACTTAACATAACTTAACATAACTTAACATAACTTGACATAACTTGACATACCACCCACCATACTCAGCCATACTCGCCGATAGTCGAGTTAACACCAGCTGCCAGGATTTTGGGCATCTTTACCCTCTTCCAGGCCATGTGTTGGCCTTAGACTGGCCACAGCAATGCAGGCAGCACTTTGTTTTGTGGAAGGAGAATCAATGACCAAACTGTTGTTGTTGTTGTTGTTGCTGTTGTTGTTGTTGTGGTTGTGGTTGTGGTTGTGGTTGTTGTTCTTGTTCTTGTTTTTGTTTTTGTTCTTGTTCTTGTTCTTGCTCTTGTTGGAGGAGGAACATAATGCACCAGCTAAAGAGAGGTCCGGAGACATGGTTTGGTTTCAAAAGTCAAGCTCACCTCTTGTGCTGTGCCAGCTTCAGCATACAAGCCTAGCAGGTTCAAGCAAACCTTTCAACCCCAGACGCAAAACAACCCTCGAAAGATCTCGAAACGTTCACTTTCACGACGTCAGAAACCCGTTCTTAACACTTTATATTCCGTTGTCTCTGATCAAAATTTGAAAGCCTTGAGGCGTAGAGTTTTTGGCAATTTATTTTTGGCAGTCAGCGTTTGAAGAGAATTGTATGTCACACTGATGTTCGATATAGAGTTGCGCAGTGGTGTTGAAACATGTCAACTGCAGCCGTCCTTATGAGCATGTTAAGTGATGGGCACCAAGGTCTGGCGGTGTGGACTGGGGAGAAGTGGCCCTGAAGTTGATGAAAGTCAGCTGGTGGCTTGCACTTCTGTTTTGCGTCGCTTGGCGATAATGAATGATATTGACATATATTGACATATTATAACTCACCATGGCCTGGTATCCTGCCATCATGCACTATCGAAACTCCCGCAGTATGGAAAGTTGGTGAGATCTGGCAGGTTGCCAAAGTTTGGTAATTATATGGGAAACTTTTAAGGACACCACGATTTTTGGATTGCAAAAAACCATGCTTTCCTGCAGATGTTGCCTCAATCCCCTTTTCAACAGGTCTCCATTTTTCTCCACTCCCGTCGGACATGATGCGGCCATGATTTCTGAACGTTGAGGTCTACATGGCCTTTGCGCTATTTTGTGTGCTCAACGTGATGACGGGAGTCTTCGTTGAAAATGCCAGCAAGATGACGTCGGCCGACGAGGCCATGGGACGAAAATTGGGGATGGGGATGGCATGTAATGAGTTATGTTTCTTTTATGATGCCTATCATGAATGTATCATGGAGAATCATGATATATCATGAATCATGATATATGGTTAAGTTGGTGAAGTTCTGAATGTTTGATAATTGGAGAGGTTCACGCCTTCACATGTTTCATACTAGCGCTAAGGTTAAGTCGTATCAGCTCATTAAAGTCTTATCGGGAGGCCGTGCGCCTTCAAAAAGTTCAATTTTGGCATTGGAGCCGTGCGCCTGGAAAAAGTTCAATTTTTGTATTGCGGCAATTTTTTGTATTTATATTTGATCATTCTTTCAAGGGGGCATACGCTGGTTGCTGCTGCTTGCTTGCTGCTTGCTTGCTGCTTGCCTGCTGCTTATGCCTGCTTGCCTGCTGCTTATGCCTGCTTGCCTGCTGCTTATGCCTGCTGCTGCTCGCTCGCTGCTGCTGCTTGCCTGCTGCTGCTTGCCTGCTGCTGTTTGCATGCTGCTGCTTGCCTGCTGCTGCTGGCCTGCTGCGATGTGCATCAAGGTCGTGGACAGCTCTCAAGAAGTTTGTCCTATCCTGCCAGCGATTACGAGTTGGAGTCCAACCAGCCAGAAACATACACATTCCCTCTCTTTGCTGGTGTCTCCAGCCCGTACCTCCCGCCAGCGCCAAACAAGGCGACCGAGACTGACTGTTATTTTCTTTTTTGGTAAAATGTTTGCACCAGATATGGCTGCGGGAAATTCGGGGCCCCTATATCTTTTATCATAGCCCTGCCAATAGGATTTGCTACAACTATATAACCCATTTGCATTGCAAGAAATTTGAGGCTGTACCAATAGGGGTTTGATTTGGTCACGCGAAGCCGGACACCAATAAAATATATCCATGCAAATAGGATTTGCTGCCAAGAAATTGTTTGTATTGATTTGTGCCCTTCAAAATCATCACTGTGCGCAATGCTTCGGCTATTTTTAACTATATAAATCTCCAATTACAGATGAAACAGGCTGTGCCATGGTGTTTCTTCTTCCCTGATGTGACTTTCCACTACCTGATGTGACTTTTCTGTATCGCTGCTGTGACATGGGGATGTTGTGACTTTTCCCGCCTGATATGACGTAAGTACGGTGTTGGTAGCAGGTAAAGGTAACCTCATACTGAGAGATTTGGATGCTGTGCCTTTCCATTTTTTCCATTTCCAGGCACAAAAGGCGGTTCGCCTTGCAGCGTTGCAACGTTCTCAAATTAGGAAAATGCGACATCTGGTGATGTCTGAAAATTGTGTGAGAATCCCCTCAGCATTAGTGCGAATCTGTTCGCTGCTTTCAGCAGCCTCCTGAATCCATTGCCACAGGGAGGGGCCATCAGCAAGTTGGGACCAGGGCTTTGGGTCAGCCAAATGTCCAGCTCGTGCATCAGCTCGAACTTGGTCACAAAACGCTGTGGCTAACGCTTTCGATAAAGCTCTCGGATACTCCTTGAGTTTGGCAGTACGGAAGTCACCTTCCGGGGACTTCCCAATTGCTGCCACTTCCGGGCGGCGTGCCTCCGGTAAGCTGCAGGAGTACATCGAGGTCATCAATCGAGGTAATCTGTGGGCTAGGAGCCCGGTTGGCTTAACAGCCTCGGCGCCCCACTGCCATTGACTGATGTGACTCAGGTGCACATCAGGGTGTTGCCTCAGGAGCTCCGTCAGAGGAGCCCGCCATGTAGTAGGCCTGTCGGGGTCCTTCGGCATTCCAGGATGCTCACTGATGAAGAGGCCACCATGGGCAATATGACTTCCCAGCGTCTGCAACCCTTGGAGCCAAAAATTGGTCCCCGTGTGCACCTGGTGCAATTCACGATTGGTCAGGTCCGGCAGACCGAAGAACCAGTCCGATGACCGGAGCGGCCTCGGCCACCGAGTAGGATCTTCCGGCGGTGGTGGTGTGAAACGGGCTTCTGAAAAGGTTTCACACGGTGAGCCCACCATGGTCATGGCCACAAGTCCCAATGCATAACACTGCTCCAGTCTGCGCCAGGAAGGTGATTGATACCAAAGGTCACCATACCATGGAGATACTGCGGTGTCCATTGACAAAACCACAAAGCGCACCCGCAGTCCAGGAGCTAGCTGTTGCAAATGCCAGTGCAAATCTCCCTCCCTCCTCCGTCCAGAAAAGAGGTGTACAACCAGCAAGCACGGCAGTGTAGCGTCAGCATCTGGGTTGAGTATTGTCGGCAGCGTGTTGCAACTCGGCATCTGATCCCATTTAATGGTTCTCATCATCGCTTGCCATTGAACTTGCTCATGATAGGCACTCGGAATCTTCTGTCGGGTAGCCGCGCGCTCTTTATGATTGGCAGCTCCTCGGCGTACTGGACGATGTGGAAGATCAGGCCGTTGAATTTCGTCTTGCAGGAGGGAAAGTCGTACTCGACGCTGCGAGAGACATCGTGCACGCTCAGTCCTAGGAAAAAGCTCGGCTGTCTCGGCAAACTGCGCGTCGATGACATACTCAAGCTCACCATCAAGCAAACCCTCCACAATCTCCGGCAGCATGTGCTCACCCCATTGTTGAAAGACAAACGCCGCCCATTCATCATAATCTCTCCCAAAAACATCCAGCAATCTGATCCAACCATCAGCAAGATCAGGAGAATCATCACTACGCTGCTGCTGCGTGCACTGTGCCCATCGGTGTGTGAACTCGCTCAGAGCATCTCCAAGACGCAGCCCTTTGGCCAAGTGGTCCGCTGGGCGATCATAGCATTCCAAAGCTCGCTCAAGGGCCGCAATCTCACTCATCAGCGCTTCAACCTGCTGAACACGACAGTCACGCCAGAGGGGTAGCGGTCCTTCTGCTTGGAGAGCATCGAGCCGGACCGCCGCAGCAAGATCGCTAGGCAAGGTTTGTGCTTGAAATCCCCCTACAAAACCCGTTTGGGTAAGAATCTGAAAACACTGATTAGCTCCCCCGCCTCTTGGCATATAGGCGAGGTGCATCGCCAATCGATTGCTCGTCCAAAAGTAGCGCAGGCATGCTGGACAGGTGGCTCCAGTGATGAAGTCGTGTTCCGGGGCATGAGATCCATGCCGCTTCCAGCGATGCAAGGCTAATCCCTGTTTGGAGGAAAAAGTCCGGCCACATTCGCAAGGATGGAGTTCCCCTCGATCATCGACACCAAGTTGGTGCAAGTCTGGGGCAAAAGTAGCCCCACCATCTCGCAGGCCCTGCATGATCTTCTTGTGAAAGAATTGCGCATCAAAAATAATCATCTCCTGCAATTTGTGCTTCTTGGTAGCCCTTCGCAGCATGCTCTTCCATGGTTTGGCACCCTGCGTTTGCCATTTCTCGATAAGGGAACTAAGATTGCCATCGTCTTCAATCGGAAGTGCATCGGGCAACACTTGCCTCAGCCAACCTAGATCTGCTTGAAGCCCACTAAGCCATGAGTCTTCTCCACACTGCTGCAACTCAATATGCACCAGCTGTTGAAGGAAGTCTGGCCCCATCTGAAACATCTTCTGGGCATAGAGCAAACGATCAAGTGCAAGGCGCACTCGCACATCCAGCGACTGAGCCATCTGCAAAATCTGGGCATTGCTCAAGTATTCATCAACTTGTCCTGGACACATTTTCCGCAACATGCCCTGGTAGGCTTTGCGGAGTCGGCCCATCTGCTGCACAGTGGGCGTTGCCCAAGATCCAAGACCAAAAAAGAGCTTCGAGCAGACCAGCGACTGAAAGAATCGAATGCGTAATTGCAAGGGAAAATGTCTGTTGCCCAAAACTGCTCGAAAAACCTTCTGGAAAGTGGCCGTAGCTACACCAATGCGCTGGCGAAGTTCTGGTTCAAAGGAGTGGCTGGATGCAAACAAAGAACCTAAATGCTTGTATTTCATTGTGAAATGCAGCCATGCTGTCGTACCATTGGCAAGGTCGACATCAACTCCGGGGCGGTCACCCAGCAAATGCATCCGGCGCATCTCAGGAGCGCCTGACCCTACAAAAGTGAGGACCGCACTTGTCTTGCCAGCATCAAAGTTGACGGTAAATCCACGGGCAGCAAAAAGGCTATGTATTTGCTGAGTGAGTTCAACCACCAAAGCGACTAAACTTTCAGCCTCATCTGTTGCCACCGGAATCGCAAAATCATCAGACCAGATGATGAAGACAGGGTCAATGCCTAGTCGCTGGAAGGCATCCCGCAACTGTGGGTGCTGGCAAAGCCATCCTCTCAGTTCCGTAGCGACCTCTGTCATAAGCAGGTGGAAGACGGCGTCCGCCAAAGGTGAGCCCGGTCTTGTACCTCGAAAGGTATGAACAAGCTCACGACCAGTCAAGGAATACCACGTGCTCTCATGGATATCTCGCAGCAATCGGGCCAAAGTTGGATCAATGTTGAGCTTATCCAAGATCCCAATCAGCTGATGGCCAGTTGCACTAGCCTCCAGGGGAGTCTTGGCAGCTTGCAGTTTGGTGAGCACAACTTCCCAATCGGCAGGAGCACCAATGCCTGTAACAAGCTGTCGAATGAGGTGATGGAAAGCCGTGGCCAAATCAACATACAAAATAGCCGAACTCATACCTCGCACGGAAAAAACATGTGTAAGTGCACGAAGGGTCTGGGCTCCAAAGGCTACTTGCTGGCCCGCATAGCCTCCCAATTGGGCCGGGTCTCGTTGATGACTGGCTTGCTGCATAAGGCGCGCCCTGGCCATTGCATGGATTCTTTTCGCCAAAGTAGGCAGAAGCAAAATGCCACGAAAATGCTTCGCCTCAATGGCGCCCAAGCGTTTAGGTATCATCTTGAGATAACCTCCTTTTCCTTGAATGGGTTCTGTCCCCCAAACGAAGATCTTAAGAATGACCTGGTAAAAATACCGTCCTAAAAATGCAGACTGCTGATGGTAGAGGCCAGATGGTAAAGCATCAAAACCCGTAGCACGATCTGCTGATGTAGCTCGGAGGGCATCTTCAACTTCTGGTAAGGTTGGCAGGCTACTCAACTCAAGTCGTGGAGATAGGTCTCGCTGGGCGGCTCTAGCTTGGTCCAGGACGCATTTGCTGACAAAGCCTTCCGCCGAAGCCGGAATTCCGATCTCCAGAAACATACACATTCCCTCTCTTTGCTGGTGTCTCCTGCCCGTACCTCCCGCCAGCGCCAAACAAGGCGACCGAGACTGACTGTTATTTTCTTTTTTGGTAAAATGTTTGCACCAGATATGGCTGCGGGAAATTCGGGGCCCCTATATCTTTTATCATAGCCCTGCCAATAGGATTTGCTACAACTATATAACCCATTTGCATTGCAAGAAATTTGAGGCTGTACCAATAGGGGTTTGATTTGGTCACGCGAAGCCGGACACCAATAAAATATATCCATGCAAATAGGATTTGCTGCCAAGAAATTGTTTGTATTGATTTGTGCCCTTCAAAATCATCACTGTGCGCAATGCTTCGGCTATTTTTAACTATATAAATCTCCAATTACAGATGAAACAGGCTGTGCCATGGTGTTTCTTCTTCCCTGATGTGACTTTCCACTACCTGATGTGACTTTTCTGTATCGCTGCTGTGACATGGGGATGTTGTGACTTTTCCCGCCTGATATGACGTAAGTACGGTGTTGGTAGCAGGTAAAGGTAACCTCATACTGAGAGATTCGGATGCTGTGCCTTTCATTGGAATCAAGTTAGGGACTCATACCGGCATTTGCCCCAGACCCTGCAAGGGATACAGTACAAATTATACATAAAAAGAAGAGGGTAAAGTATAGGTTTCACTGAGGGTCTTTTGAAATTCCTTCAAGCGTGGCATCAGTAGCAGGCAGGGTTTAGCGCAGCAAGCCTTGCATGAAGCCAGCAAATGAGGTCCCCTCAACACCTCAAAAGCCATAGCGGTTTGTAGGATCAAGAGACGTTTGGCATGTCTTAAAATGGGAAATTGATGATATCCATCGGAATTGGGGGCATCCAATTTTCAGACCCCATTGGCCATGTAACGCCATGGACAGTTGCTGCATGTTACCGCCTTCTGGTCACAGGAGATGATCATGATGGAGGAGGTGCGTGCACGTCAGGACACCAATGTCGAGTCGCTGGGCATGGCAGCACGATGGGATGGTTTCAGCATGCTGCACGGTTCAGCATGCTTCGCTGTGCAGGATTACGTGGACACCGTGAGCCGCCTGTTTGCTGACTGTGACAAGGACAACTCAGGCGCAGAGTGCCGAGTGCCGAGTGCAAGTTGCGCAGGTCGTAGGAAGTGGGGGTGCTTACAAAGGTGATCATCCCAACCAAAAGATCCAAAAGCTGCTATGGTTTGCAACCACCGTGCTCTTTACTAAGCCTTACTAAGCGTGACTAATTGACGACCACATTCTAAGTCGAATGGTCATCGCAGTAACCGCTCCCTTCACACCAGGTGCTGTCGAGTGGGAGGACGGGGTGTGCGGAGTTCAGTGGAAGGTGGACCCACAAAGTCAGGCTGGTGGCCACCTTCCCTTGGGAACAAGTTGGTGTCTGAGGCAAGGACCCAGCCCAGACTTGTTTTTGGGGAATTATTTTTGACTGTACCAGACCCCACTCAGGATGTTCAGGTGTACTCCAATCTGCAGCTAAGCTCCCTGGTATAGCAGCTCAGTGCTGTAGCTGTATGGATCATGGAGAGTCTGCGAGCATGGCCTGTGGCAGCATGGCATTTGCAATATAGAAGCCACTGGTCACATGGCACATCATGGCACATCATTTTGTCAAACATGGATCATCATGTCATGGATCACCTTGTTTATATCACGCCATATCACGCCCGTACCATATAGCCATGACATATCACAACATATCACAACATGCATTTTACCAGAAGCCTACTTCAATCTACTTCAGCAAACTTCCGCAACCTGGGCGCCCCTTTTTCAAACTGAGCAGATCGGGGATGGGCGCTAGCAAGGGGCCATCCAAAAGGTCCAAGTCCTCCAAGTCCAGCAACTCGGCCCCAAGTGGGGATGGGATGGGATGGTCACGGTGGTATACGGTGGTCACATGTGTGGATGACTCTTCTTTGGATATAAAGGTTTATGATATTTTATGATGGTTTATGAAGCTTTGTTAGTTACTGTTAGTTGTTTCAATATGTTTCAATCGTGTTGATGTTCCATCACCGAGTAGTTCGATGATTGTTTGACATCATTTCATTCTATACGTATATACTTGTACAAACACACACACGCACACACACACACCTTTTCGTTTCCAAATGGGTCTTGAGCTGAAACCGCAGAATCAAGGCAATGCTTCTTCAGCATCTGCAAACCGTCGGCGGCAAGTACCACGAAAGGGAAGCAAGACCAAGAATGCAGCTGTACAACTTGGCATTGCTACAGAGTACCATTCTAAGCTGGCACCAGATGTAGTTCGAAGTTCCTTCATCCTTGCTGAGCCCAAGATGCAGTCTCTTCAAAAGTTTGTGCGGATAGCTGGGCAGGAACATTGGGATTTCTGGGCGTTTCTGGGGATCCGCATAGAGTGAAGAATGGAATCCTCTTGGGATCCGCAGCTGTTGCATGCTGTTGCCATGAGATCAAAGGGCGCGTTTGTCGTAGGCCTCGTAGGCCCGTAGGCCATCTGGCCTCACTCTCTGTTTTGCGGCGCATTTGTCTAACCCGGCAGGAACCAGAAGAGCCTGCAGCGTTTGAAGACGATGAGCCTCGGATCAGTCATAGCTGGCATAGCTATCTTTAGCTTTTGTTTGTTTGATCGTTCCGCATATTATTTGCACTACATTGTTGAAGATTGCAGATGATCACCGTGTTTTGCACAGTGTGTTTTGAGATTTTAAACGTCTTTTAGATTCTTTCATTATTTTATAGTTGTGGTATTTGATGATTTTGATGGTATTTGCATCTTGCTTATTGTTTCCATTTATTTCCAAGTCATCACCCTTCCTCCAGGAGAGCATCTTGGAGAGCTTCGGCGACGATCGCAGCCCAGACGCGTCGCCCGGCAGTTTCTGGGACGAACCCACGCCGCGCTTCGATCTGTCACCCGCCAGCCGACGTACCTCAAAGGAAAGCCGCAGGAGATTGAAATTCTGATGGTAGGATACGGTGGGATACTGGAGATATAAACCATAGATAACCATAGATAACCATAGATAACCATGGTAACTACAGAATCTATAGGTATAAACCATAGATAACCACTGGATACTGGAAGTATTTGGAACTGGTATTTCAAAGTGGGATCGACACTGAATCAACGTCAACATGTAGCCATGGATCATCTGATTCCATCCAATTCCTATCCATGTTTTTCAGCCAATATATAAAAAGGATTAAAAGGGCTGCTCCACTGAGATCGTGGGTCAGGGCGAGGCACACAGCCCGCAGGAATTCAGCTTCCAGCCGCAGAATGTCGGCATTTACTCAGAAGACTGCAGGCTGCTGGGTCTGACCAGTTGCTCTGAAAAACAGAAAGTCGATCGAGTGTAGCCGACCTTGCAATTTTGATGCATGGCAAGATGTGATAGATCTAAGATGTCGCAAGGGGATGTGATTGTTTGATGTTTTAGACATATTTTGATCACCTCGAACATTGGATTAGAAAAAGCTACTCCCGCGTACAAGCATGGATCACAGTATAGTTATAATATCACAATCTTTCAGTCCAACCTGCGTTGGCAGATCAAGCTGCATTAAATATATCGACAGTGGGTGGATACCTAGTACCTATCCGACCACTTTTGGCGGGATGAATGTCCATGAAATAGCTGCTTATTATGCTTGCCAGGGTGCCAGTGTTTTGACCCATACCCGCGGTATACTGTGCGCGTATTATTATCCGTGATTATTGGTTTTATGATTATTTTTATTATAGATATGTACATCCTTTACTTATATTTTACTCATACACTTGTAGGTATGACTTATTCATACGTCTTTGTGTGTGTGTGTGTCCCCGTCATGGCATCTTACGAAAGGCAGTCGGCGCACATCTGCTACCAGCACAGCTAGGCGACAGTCGACTGAAACAGATGCGTCCGTCCCATCAAGAGCCTTGGTGTATGAAAATAGGGTACACCCCACCGCCATGTTTTTCCTTCTTATCCTTCTTTCATATAGTGTTCCCATATGTTCCCTATAAAAATTCAACAATTTTGTGGGTATCCGAGAATCCCCCATTTTCAGACAGACCATTGCTGGATATTATTGGCTGTGGTGGTAGGAAACAAAAATTGCAGCATATTGTTGTTCAATGTGCTACAGTTCGTGCCTGAAACTTACTTTTGGACATTTTTGGACATGTGATGAAATGTGATCATATCCAACAGCCTGTTGGTTTGCAAAATATGATGCCCAAATTCCAGCACATACCCTCTGGTAATTTAACGTAGCTATTGAAAATGGCAATTTTTAATGGGAAAATCCACTATAAATGGCCATTTTCAATAGCTATGTTAAATTACCAGAGGGTATTTGGATACCCCATTTTCAGACAAAGCCAGCCATAGGGTTCTACGTTGGTCATTTCCCAGCGTGCACCTGCTGCGTCAAGTTGTGTAGCGGCAGTCCGACTGCTGAGGATTTGGCTTTAACAAGCAATCGACTGAAGAGTTCAGAATCTTAGCCACATGGGAAAGGTGGAACCAGTGGCATTGTCCTTCTAAACAATCTTCAACATCTCAAGAATCAGTACTATATGTACTATGTTGATAAACTGTGGGATTTCATTGCGCTGTGTTTGAAGTGATGGATACAAATCCATGCATTGCGTATGGCCACTCTAGAAATACAGGTACTAAAGTGGCAACGCGATCTAGGTTCCCTGATGATTGGGGGAGGGATATCTGGGGAATCTGGGGATATCTACTTCATAAATTGTCGTAGGTGTATATCCCGCTGCACCCGCATTTTTTTAGGCACCAAATTGGCGCGACCAGCCTCCGCTTCGGCCATTCTGCAAGCGCGCGCACGGCTGGAGATGCTGGAGGATGAGCAGTCACGGAGCACCATGGTGCAGCGGGTGAACGAAAGGGTCCGGCAGCTCGTGGAGGAGGCTGGCGCCACGTGAATTCCCCGTTGATTGCCATTTGAATGGGGGATAACCATGGATAACCGGGATAATGATGAACCAACCACAATTTTCCTTAAAATGCGTTTCTGTTGTTGCACAGTCCTAGTGTATATACTACCCTTTTCACCTTCTATACGGTATTGCATTGGCTCAAGAAATAGTGCGTATTGCAGGTTGTTAGTTTGTGGTTGGTAGTGGCTAGTTAACCGTTTCTACAGGTTATCAGCCGTATCGCGAAGCGATCGCTGGTTTCCTTTTGTCTCACTTTTTCGTTCTTTCTCTGTAGCTTTCGCAATGGCTTCAACCCCCGCGCTCCCTGCCCCGGGCGGGAACGCCTCGGCTGCTCTGGCCTTAGCGAATCCTACACAACCGGAGGAAGTGGTAATCCATTCAGGTGCGGCGACAACAGAAGGCGATATGAGTTACTTGGATGAAGAATTTGACCCATACCGTTCTGATCCACGCAGGGACATGCCAGGTGTTTTGGATGCTAGTTTTGACGTAAGTCAGCTCAACACCATCAACTTCAATCATGTGGACAATCGTACCGCCCAAGTGGCAGTGGTACAGCAGGGTGTTGATCCAAACGTGGCAAGTCAATTGATGGCTGCTCAACAGCAGGCATTGCAGAGCGAAGCAAATGCACTTCACTCTGAGGTTATGGAACGTCAAAGGAATGCTCTTGTGAGTGAAGCTCGAGATCAACTTGCAAGCATTGAGCAACAGGCAGCCGACGAGATTTCCAGGAAGAACCTTTTGTTGAATGAGCAAGCCGCCCAGGCGATGAGCGAGCAGAAGTCTGCTCAACTGCAGGTCACAGCGCAGGATCATCGCATCAGGGAACTGAGTGCCGAACTGACCCATGTCGTCAACAATGCAGGTACCTTGACATCGTCTGCGGAGAAGTCCAACGCCGATCTGCAGACAGCCCGTTCGGAACTTGCCGAGTATCGCACTCAGATTGATGCAATGAATCAACACGCTTTGAACATGCAGAGGCTGGCCGAATCTCAGAAGAAGGACTTCGAGGCAGAGATTGAGAAGCTTCGGAGGGAGCAGAAAGAGCTCATCCGGAACCTAAAGTCTCAACCTCTGGAGGGAACTCCTGGACTCATGATTCATTATGGTCCTGGAAAACCCCTTCCAAGACCCTCGAAGCCCACAGGTACCATCATTGAGGAGTTAGCTTCGGGAAGCAAGAAGCCCCAGCGTTCCTCAGACGCTGATGATGAGCATTTCATGGCAGAACCTTCAAAGCCACCGGGACTTCCCGGAGGTGGACCTCCAGGAGATGATGACGATGACGAGGACTTCAACGACGAGAAAGGTCGAAAAGAGAAGAAGAACAAGAAGAAGGACCGCAAGACCAGTCGCGGAAGATCGAGACGACGGCGACGAAGAGATCCTTCATCATCACCTTCTTCGTCTTCATCACCTACTACGTCAAGTTCGGATTCTGAGAGTTCCTTTGCACGAAAGGTCAAAAAGGCCTTAGAGCGTTCTAGGACTAATGATCATAAGGCCAAAGAGTCTGATAGGATCCTAGTACCTAAGTTCCCTCAACCCGAAAATTATAGGAATTGGAGAATCCGAGTAAGGGATGCCATAATTGCTGCTTCAGCCAAACCCGACCTAGCTTTTCAGTGGGTAGAAGAAGTTTTCAGGACAGACCAGTCTGTTGATGCCTTGAAGGACTCAGGTAAATTCGTGACCCTGGACGCAAAGCTCATGTCTTCGCTTACCAACATCTGCGAAGGGGACTTTGCACGGCAACTTGACATCTTTAAAGAAGAACAAGCCAAGTCAGGGACACCAGCTAGGGGACGTCAAGCATTGCTCATGATCCATAAACACTTTAGCACAAGTAGGAAGCATGGTGCAGTATACGACATTGAAGACCTCATGGCTGTTACCTTGGTCAATGACGATCTCAGAGGTTTCATCACCCGATGGGACGCTGTGATCGCTGGAATGACTTCCGAGCCTGACATGATGTGGAAGCAAGCATACTTTCACAACGCCATCAAGAACTTCAAGCCTCTCTCTCATGATCTGGCTGTGTATGATCGCACACCGGAGGGGGAACCCAACCGCTCTTATGATTTTCTCATGAAAGCTGCAAGGGATTACCTTGAGAGGAGACGTCTTGAAAAGATGCGCCAGGCTACCAAGAAGTCTGTTTCAGGCAAAAGAGATGCTACGCCAGCACCCACGCGACCGCCATCTGCGGGAAAGCCCACCGGCATTTGCTATGACTTCCAGGCTGGCAAGTGTACCAGGGGAAAGGATTGCCGATACAAACATGAAAAGGGAGACAAAGGAAAAGGCGGAGGTAAGAAAGGTAAGTCCAGGTCCAAGTCAAGAGGCAATGACAGATCTTTGTCTCCAGGATCTAGGAATCAGGTATGTAAGTTTTGGAAGGCAGGTAAGTGTCAACGAGGTAATGACTGTGCTTTCCAACACCCACCAAAGCCTGCAGCTGCATCTACCAAAGATGACAAGCGTGGAAAGAGCCAGAAAAAGAAGAAGAAGAAGAACAAGAAGAAAGGTGATCGTTCACGATCATCGAGTCGAGGTTCCAATTCCTCGAGGGGCTCACAGAGTCTGAAAGACAAAGGGGGAAAACCGTCTTCCTCTGGCTCAGCTGCAGTTTGCCTGATGCGCGCTCTGATGATGGTCGCAGTCGTCAACCCTTCGACCAGCACTCATCGCGTGCCGGAAGGCATCGCCTCTCCGCATTGTTTCAACCAGCATTTTGCCATGCCAGTTACACCCAATCGCACTATTTCATTTGGGGGCAACGATGAAATCTTCGAAGTTCCCATCGAGCAAGATTGTAATTTGCATCCGTGCCAAGCCAAACAACGAACTTTCAATCCGGTTCGCATCACCAAGGACGATCGTACTCGTAAAGATACGATCGAAGCAAGAGAAAGTGATGCAATACTCGCAGCACAGATGTTGCAATCCGCTGTCTTTCGGGAGTTGCATGGTAAACTTTGCAAATGCAGCTTTGAATGTGACAGTGATATCGGCTGTCGCCACTGCATCCGTTCCGACCTGAATGCCCTGCCAGGACACATGCCGTCCCAGCAGCGTAATGCATCCGCTGAGATAGCATGGATCGCAGACACTGGTAGTGCACAGGACTTAGTTTGCAGCAAGATGATTCCCGATGACATCGTGTATCACTCTCATGAACCCCTTGAATTAATCACTGCAAATGGTTCCCAATCAGCTGACCAACAAGCTTCTGTTCATATTGATTGCATCGACAAAGAAGTTCATCCATATGTTCTTCCCGATACCCCGGCTGTAATATCGGTAGGGATGAGATGTATTCAAGATGGATGGGATTTTGTTTGGAAAAGCTTTAGTCGCCCATATTTCAAGAAGAAAGATGGAACCAAGATCAAACTTGAAGTTAAGGATTTTGTTCCTTATCTACCATCCAGAGATGGCCAGGTACCCGCTGCAGTAGGGATTCCGTTTTCGTGGAACTCCGCTGCCGGGAACGGCAAGCCCATCATCTCACCTGTTCGAAGGTCTCGCATGTCAGCCGTCGGTGCAGAGTCCGATGATGAAGTCGAGGAGGTCGAAGAACCTTATGAGGCTTCCATCGCTGATGACGATGAAATTCCCGGACAAGCTATCGACGACCTCGAAGAATTCTTTCCTGGTGAACTTGCACCAGGACCGCCAGCAGCCATGACACCAGACATTGTCGAAGGTTCGGAAGATGAAGCCGAAGCTCCTGAAGAACCAGTTGACGGTCGACTTCAGATGCCTGAGCCAAAGGCGATTGATCGTGGTGAAGCTGCACTTCGAGAAGAGGCCAGGACCCTTAGGCACATGATGACACACACCCCAAAGAACCCTTTTTGCGAAACATGCAAATGTGCAAAGATGTACAAACCTACCAAACGTAGCAAAGGGGAATCTTTGACTGTGGAATCCAATAAGTTTGGGGATCACGTTACTGGGGATCACCTTGTGACTAGGGATGCCAACGAGCAATCAATTGATGGTGACAGGGTTGCTATGGTCATGAAAGATGTCGCTACGAATTTTCGTTGGATTTATCCTTCAGCTAGAAGTCATGCCAAGGATTGTGTTTTAGCTTTTAGACATTTCGTCGCACCTGGTGAAGAAGTCGGAGTATTCTACTCCGATGCAGCGCCATCCATCAAGCTCGCTTGTCGGGAAGTTGGGTGGAGACAGAACACTAGTGTTGCTTATGTCTCTAAGTCGAACGCAGTCGCCGAGAGGAATCTCAGGTCCGTACTTGAAGGGACTAGAGTAAACCTTGAACAGGCAGGACTTCACCATTCCTATTGGAGTTATGCTGCACGACATTGGTGTATGGCACACAACATCCAGGACCACCCTGAAATCTTATCTCCGTGGGAGCTTCGTTTTGGGGAAAAGTTCAAGGGACCCAACATTCCTTTTGGGGCTCGCATTGATTACTGGACTGGACCAAAACTTAAACCCAAGAAAGATTTGCGTTTTGACCCAACTTCAAATCCAGGTATCTTTTTGGGATATGCCATGCAACCAGGTTTCATTTGGAGAAATGAATTTCTTGTAGCATCATTGAAGGACCTCATGGAGAAGGAATTCAACGAATCAGTTCAAGTTGTTCGTGTCAACCAACTCACTGTACCTGATGGACCATTTGTTTATCCTTTGAAAGGTAGATATAAGGCCATTAGGGAAGGTTTATACGAATCTCTTAGCCTTGATGCTCCACCAGATCCAAAGAAGATGGACGCTCAAACAATTGAAGACTTGGTCGCTCCAAGGAAAGCTGTTGAGCCAGGACCGGTGGAGGGCGAAGAGGAGTTTGAACAGTTGATGCGTGAAGCTGGACTTGAATCTGATGACATCGAGGTTATTGACCCCAAAACTGGCAAGTCAGAATTTATCTCAAAGGATGACCCTTCATACTACGATGCTAGTGGTTTTAAGGGAAGACGATA